GAGTAAAATATTATGTTTTTGCTCAATTCATACTATTCATCCTTCATTTTATTGGCATTCACGACGACATGAAGAAATCGACATATCCAATAAACAACGCATTTAAGTTCAGTCATTCCAAGATACCAACTGTCATACTTCAATATATAAAATAGCATGACACTGTCTTTGTGAATGTAATTACGTGTTTAAAACTATTCAAACCTTTCTGTCATTCTATCTAATTAATAGTGCTCCATAATGGAAACGTCAAATTACTTAGTCCAAATGGATTAACACGTTATCTCAGTGCTCTTTGTCGCATACATTTACAAATAAACCTGAAAATAAGTTGCTTATTTAAAGATTTTTCTCATTCCTAAATTGACTTATGTTTAGACCTCAGCTGGAAGATTTTAAACATACACTTTTCGTCTAAATGCAAGAAAAATATTTTATGTGAGTTGTGTAGTCCCAAAAATAAACTACTACTGTAGTGTGTGCTACTGATGTCGATAAATGTAGGCAGTATGTATCATTAATCGAACTGAAATGTCTGGTGGCAGAAGGTTAACAAGATCGAAGAAAAGAGATCGAGAACAGAGAGGGATTGATGTGGAAACGAAGAAACAATGAAGTCTGAGACAATTACAAATGAAGCATTTACTGTATGGTTCTCAGATTTTACTAAGATATGTTGTAATTTTGTACTCAAATGCATTTGGTTGTCTCCAATGTTGTTCTCGTTCACCATACTACTACTGACTCTCAGCTGCAGCTATTTCGATAAGGTATGAATAAACTATGTTTAGCCTCCTTGTTTACATATAAATCATTGTCATGGATTCAGAAAGTTCGGATAACCTCAGAATAACTAATATCCAAAGGATAACTTTAATGAATGCAAGTTAACGTCTATTAGAGATTTAAATAACATTAAAACTGAATATAATATAAAGATAAAATAATTTAAACATCCCGATCCAATTATACATCAACTCAATAAGCCAATTTACATGAAAAATTCGAAAACAATATTCGAAAGTAACCCGTGATAATGAAAATGTTTTAGTTAATAAAACTAGGATTACAGATATTAAAGTTCAGCGCGAGAAAAGCGAACAAATCCACAACGTACGTTGAATAATTTATCCATTAATATACCATTCCTTCTGTTCTAATCATTATTATCCTCAATACTCTTCGATAGTGTTTTATCATTTAATTAGCTGTTATTCATTCATTAAATCTGTTCTCCCATAAAAGCGAAGTTAAAGTGGTTTAATTAGTTATGAAGCTAACAGTTGTTGAGCAAGTGAACTATATATATATATACTGAAAACACTTAATAATGATACAGTTGATTATGGTATTTTTCCCCTAAATTAAGAATTCATGCTAATATTATGTAACAGAACTTAATTAACGCGTTTTTTCTTCATTTTAAAACCATTACATAAAGGATTTTCAAACATATTTTAGATTACTATCATAGTATTATTACGTGATTAGATTTTTAATCACTTAAATGTTTATTTCTTATTTGGTGTATGGATTAAATTATCACTATGGTTCTCTATGAAATTAAAAGTGAAATTAAGGAGAAACTGCTGTAAATAAACCAGCATGTGTCTACATGTGATGTTTTTTAAAATTTGTAAATAAAGTAGTTAGAAATGGATATTACTTTCGTTCTATCGAAGACTTTAATTCAGGATAAAAAAAGAAATTATTTCTTATCTTTTTTCAATAAACAGAGAATTCGACCGAGTTAGTATAATAAAAGCTTGTTGAAACCGTAACTGAAGGAACATTGCATTTACTTGAGCAAGTTAACATTTAGCATTTCAGTTTCAGTTGTGAAAATAAGATGTTACAATGTTGTGTTGTACTACACCAGTGTCTTATTAAAAAGTTACACCAACCTAGATAAAATCAAGTTATTTGCAGACAAACTTTACTAACCGATAGTCCGTCAGTGCACTTACTTGTACTTTTTTCACTAAGAAGTTCATATGGAGACCAGAAAAAATAATCTTATAATGTTTATTTACCATTCGAGTGAAGTAATAAATACATCCAAAAGTGAATCTAAATGATCTTTAAGATTAGACTGTACCTTCAATCCTAGAGATAGAAATTTTGAAAAGATGAATTGAATTCAGATGAAGTTTGAAAATTATAAATTTGAATAAGAAAAAGAGAATTCAGCGAAGAAAATTTTCTTTTCGACGAAATCATTTACTTAAGCTGTACATTCGTATATATATTTATATGGAAAATGTATGTCTATAGAAGGATTAAAATTTTGAAGAAAATGAAAGATGAGGATATTATCAATCATGACCTCTATGAACACCTCAAACCATCTGGTTCTGTTGTACCAAGACTATATGGACTACCAAAAGTTCATAAGAATAATAACCCACTACGTCCTATACTGGATATGAACAATTCTCCCTATCACTTAATCGCTAAATGGTTAGTTAACATTCTACAACCTGTTAAAAATCATATCAACAAACACAATTCTCTTGATTCCTTTGACTTTGTTGACTCCATTAGAAATATCAATGTATCCGGTAAAAAAATGTTCTCATTAGACGTCACTTCTCTTTTCACAAATGTTCCTCTCACAGAAACCATTTGCTTTTTATGTGACTATATTGAAAATAATAATCTTGATATGCGTATCCCGATACATTACCTTAAAGAACTACTTCTAAGATGTACGCTCAACGTGCAATTTAGATTTAATGATATTTTCTATAAACAAATAGATGGAGTTGCAATGGGCTCTCCATTGGGTCCTCTCCTGGCTGATTGTTTTATGGCGAACCTAGAAAATTCGGTACTTCGACCAATAATTGAAAGATTTCATTTATATAAAAGATATATGGATGACACTTTCATTATTTGCGAAGAAGACAGTGACCTCAATGATATTTTGAATATTTTCAATAACTGTCACCCATCAATCCAATTCACCTTAGAAGCAGAGACAAACAACGAATTTCATTTTCTTGATATCCATTTAAAAAGAATGCCTGACGGTTTATTACAGAGATCGATATACAGAAAACCCACTTGGAATGGACAATACACGAACTTCCACAGTTGGGTTCCATTAATTAGAAAAAGGAACTTAATTCATTCTTTATCCTCAAGGATCAGGCGAATTTGTTCCAACGACACAATAGATGGGGAACTATTTTATCTTCGACAGACCCTCATCAAAAACGGTTATCCACCGAGATTCATCGATAGAAACTTGGTACCTAGACCCCATGATAAAGCATTGACAGTAGAGAAAAAAACTCTATTTATGAATATGGAATTTAAGGGAGATACAGCTGCTGAAATCCTAAATAAACGGATTTCGAAATCAATGAATAAAACATTCCACGCAGCTAAACTTCGAATCATCTTCTCTAGCCGACCTACCATTCTGGGGTGTGTAAAGGACAAACTTTCGCTTTGGGCCACTTCAATGTGTATCTATAAATTTACTTGCTCATGTGGGGCATGTTACATAGGCCGCACAAAGCGATCATTATCCAAACGCATCTCGGAACATTATCCGGCTTGGCTTTTGAAAGGGGAGCGAAAAACAATCACGAGTTCTATACAGGAGCACTTAATCAACTGTGGACATATCGCTCCAAAAGACTCTTCGTTTAAAATAGTTTACAGAGTCAAAGGAACTGGATCGAAGGGGGTTCGAATCAATATTTTATGCACCGCAGAGGCATTGGCAATCCACAAACTAAAGCCTGAACTTTGCGTGCAGAAACGATTTGTCCAGCCTCTTATCCTTCCTTGGCCTTAATGGGTATGTTGCTAGGTTGTTTTTTTTTTCCTAATGCACTTTTATTATTATCCATATTTTTAAATTACTATTTTGCACTTTAAACTTTAATCATTTATTATTATTACCTTTTACAAGTTTTCTTGATTATCATTCAGTTTATTATTATGACCTTTGTTGTTTTGTCGTTTTTCTTCATATCTGTCAATCTGTCAATTGGACTATTATCTGACCCTTAAATTTTGTTCTTCCTTACCCCTTGATTAGTACGTTAACCTCATTTGTTATTTATTGTCGAATCCATTTTTTTGTGATACAACCCTTTCTATCCTTCTATAGACATACATTTTCCATATAACTATATATACGAATGTACAGCTTAAGTAAATGATTTCGTCGAAAAGAAAATTTTCTTCGCTGAATTCTCTTTTTCTTATTCAATGACACTATGGGTTATTTTAATTATCTAATTATAAATTTAATATTTTAATAGGCAACGGCGTTTTGGAACTTAGCGCCTGAAAAAATAACCACTACTTTTTGTCAGTCAAATAACAAGTAAGGAAATGTTCACACGTGGATATATAGGGATTTACAAATCCTAACAATAACAAATAATAACTAAGCAGAACACTGGGGTTCATCACAATACTCGCGATTAAGTGTACAATACTTTGAACTAAAGTCCCAGTGAGTAATTATTCAACGATTTACATTTTCAACCATCGATAAGTAAGGAACGTCCTTCTATCCTCTTGAGCTTCCTGATTCATGGTTCCGCGATTCTAAATCTTCGGCTGCTGTCAGCTCGTGATAAAATTCACCTCCAAATTATTTGAATTATTCGAGATACAAACAGTGATGATCTTATTTTTACCCAGAAATTCCATAAGTTTTTACTTGTGTGACAACACTGATGACTTAAATGTTTCAGTTAAGCTAATCCTAACAATCTTTTGGTAGTTATAACTACGTATTAAGTCTTCCTCTTATACATAACAGTTAGTCTCTGTTATTATAATGGTTATTAACATATTGAAAAGGTAGTCATTTTTGATTTATCAGTGAAAATAAAATCTAAATTTCTGTTATGTACCTACTGATTAAACATAATTCATTTTTAATTGAACTGTGAATGATACATTTAATTAGAAACTTTACGTCGTCTTTATCACAGTCACATAATAGTCATAATCTTATTTTTTTATAACAGCCTGCTCCAAACTTTGCCCAAAGATAAACAACAACACATATTGTTGGGGCCATCTCTGTCAGACTGTCAACACCGTAAGTTGTTTTTAAGCTTTTATGTTTTGCTTAGTCAACTTAAAACTAAAATGACATAAATATTATGTATTCTGTGCCTGAAGATGCTTTCCTCTTAGAAGATAACAACAAACGATCTTTGCTTTTGAAGCTTGATGTGCTCAGTGATGTGGTTCTTGCTTTTCACTTAGGTGGAATTATTGTGGACTGTAAAAGCTAAATCCCTGTATATTAACTTCTCTTCTTTTGTTTAGAATCTAAATGTCAAAGTTTATTATGTAATCGGTGTTTAAGAATACGAAATTCATTTTCATGCTGTCACGAACAATGTCTAGGAGGGTGTACTGGACCTTTAGCTTCACAATGTGTGGTATGTCAATATATTAGAGTATATTTAACTTATATTTATTATTAAAACATAATTTGAAAACTGTATTCATTGGTTGTGTTATTTTAAATTATTTACCAGAAACGGTTATTCTCAGTGGAATTATGATATGCTCATATAATGGGAAACAATGAATATTGATTATAAAGTGACATGTGTTACCGTAAACTTATAACACAAAGACGTTGTGAACAATTTATGATAGGGAACCATATATTCTGAATAAAATCTAAATATTAAATTTATTCATAGTAGGCTTAAGCGGTACATAAACTGTGTACTGAAATCACATTTTTATTTAACTGAAGAACATAAAGTCAGAGAAAGCATTTTCTTTGATGTGATATGTAATATGATAGATAAACTATCCTCGGACGTCGATTAGATTTAGTTAGCTTTCTGTAGAATAGTACAGTACCTTTGAAGACGATACAATAATTGTAATCCAAAGAACCTGGTACCAAAGTATAGAGTTGGTTGTCTGTTGTAACGGGTGTGAGACTGCAGGTTTTGATAAGCAGCGTTTTATTGGTCGATCGCAGTACAGTGACACGGAAAACACGTAGTGGACGACCTAGAGCCCTGATTGGTCCCGCCTCGCAGTCTGTCCCAGCCAGTTGAGTCAAGAACGCAAGTCACAGCCTCTGAGTTATGAATCATTGTATTTCAGACATACTCTATTTATATACCAACCAACAACCACATCGTACCATAAAATAGAGAACAACATTTACAAAATATTTAACAAGTGAAATAAACATCGACCAATAAGAAATGTACATTTAAGGTCCAAGGCCACCATAGACTTAACACGATAATTATTGGTATATTTTTCCGACTATCCTAACATTGTCGAAAGAATTATTTGGTCTGGTAAAATAAACTGCTACCGGGAATATATGTTATAAATTTTGAGCAAATATCTGATTCTTTGGAGCGTTCGTTGTTAGGGGTGGGATAATATACAAATATGTTAGTACTCGTCAAAGTAAAATCTGGTAAGTTATATTCAAATAATACGAGAATCGAACGTCAAGTAATCAACTCTGTCCTGACAACAGCATATTGAAATCTTCTCGAAAGTGCAAACAGTTTTTCGACGTGAAATTCTTCATGAATATAGAGGTTTAGACCCAATTACCATAAATACACTACAGTATAAATACAAAAATTTTACAATGGTTATAATCGAAAATATTTCAGATTAATGTTAGTAGATAATGAAAATGTTTTAACTGAATAGATGAAATGTGGTTAACAGTACATTCAAGGATGCCCGTTCCCTAATATTTTGAACATTTTAGTTGAATGTACGTACATCTCAGAGTTGATGTTCAGTTCAGGTTTCCAGCCCTGTAACTTACACTGCAAACGCCAACGCGCTATCCACCCTGCTATGAAGTCCAAATTTCAATTCAGTTTATAAGAATAATCAAAATTCACTCAGGAGCATTAACAACCGAATAATCCAAAACCATTATAATCGAATTATAATTCGTACCTACTACACAACTGAGTGACTGTTTGAACTCGGCAGCAAAGTGGCTAATGCGTTAGAGTTCGAAGTGTAAGGTATTGTGTTGGAATCCTGAACTGAATATCAACTCTGAGAATGTAGGTACATCCAATTAAAGGGTTTAAAGTACGACGAAACGCGTCTCTTTCATAACATTGCTAGTTCCATTCTATCTATTCTATAAAGAATTGTAAAGCGATGGCTACATCAAGTCAGCACTCACAGAAAGCTCATTAGCCAGTTAAGACTGATCGAAATTCACTCAACAGTATCAACAACCGGACCATTCAGAAACATTACAAATTGGACTGAAAAATCTGAGTTTTTCTTGTTATCCTTTCTACAATTTTCATAGTTTTCTTACAAATCAAGTTCATTTATAAAATCCCGTTATGAAAATTTATCAAACGTGTGAATTACGATATCTAATTTGTTGGATTATAATTGACAAATATTCTCCAACATACTTTTGTCTTCTCAGTTTATTTGAACAGTTCATAATTAAAGATAGATTTTAAGCTACCAACAATTACTAAGCACCAGTTGTAATTTATCTTCTGATCAAAACGATATAAAAAATGTCTATTAAATTAAATTTAAACAAGTTCCTTATAATTAATCGGAACATCTCTCTGACTTTTGATTTCATCTACTTAAACTTTTATACAAGACTATCAAAGTTGATGCACCTCATCAATCAATTTCTTCTATATCTGATCTATTCTTTTCAATATTATTCACCATTTGAAATACACCACTATATGATGTTGGTAAAAGGAATTCCACCAGGTTAAAGACATTGTGATCTTCCTAAACAATAAAAGTGTTTAAAAAATAAAAGGCTTTTATGAATACAGAGATGAAATATTTCAAATGAATCAGTATGTTTACGATCAAAGGTAGACTTGTAGTAACTTTACTCAATATATAATGGGATGGCTATAGTATATTTTTTAGCCTTATGACCAGAATGAATTAATAAACTCTGAAACTACTTTGTCTTTTGGAAAATTCGAGATCACTGACAATATAGTTAGTCTTAACCGGTATTAACTTGACTATCAAAAAGAAAACACCAGTGAACTTCAAAAGCGCCTTTTGAATAGTTTAGACGTGAAATATCTTATTTTTCTGGAGCAAAATCCTGTGTGTTTGACATTGATGTTATAACTCTTTGACTTTGTCTTTTATATCAGATAACTGATATATAAACCTTCCGTGCACTATTTTTATGTGTGCAGTAAAAGTAGTTTTCTATCAAGTGTGCTGATGAAAATTACCGTCTTAGTAAATCAAGAAAGAAAACTATGGATGAATATGTTAACAATATCAGTTTGATGATTAGCAATTATTTTATTCAAATAATTATGTGGATAACTCAAATTACCAAAAATATGGATTTGCCTTAACTTAGTCTAGGGATTTTAGGTTTGTCATAATTGGTTGGTCATACTAACCTTTTTTTTTCATAATTATGTGGAATTATATCATACAGCTAAAGCTTATGTCTATATTTTCTCTTATTCACTAATTAAATAACAACTGCTCTATTTCTGTAGAATAATATAACAACTATTGCCAAGTATAAAAGAAATCTTAAAATATATATTGTTGAGTTCACTACGCCTGTTTGTTTAAGATGGGAAGCATCCTAAACCTAACATAAAGAAAACAACTTTGAATGTATTTATTTCTTTTCTAAAATTTGTAATTTTCTTCGATCTCAAGTAATGTGTAATTATTATTTCACTTTAACTAAAATATTTTTGCTATCCCTATTGTTTATTGTGAATATTGACTTTATTATTTATACTAGGATACTACAGGCAGTACTTCATGTTGCATAACCTCCATAGGATTGACACATAACATGTTCAAAATAAGTTCATTTAGTTATCATGTTTTACAACTTTTTTGTGTTAATATACTACCTTTTAGATACAAACTATCATTTCTAAATATTTCTGTAACATATATGTAGATAAAACTGCACTGAATTGCTTTTTTTTTTACTAGTGTTTAAATTCATTAAATTAATAAACAATAAACTATCATCTGCCAATGAACCACCGGATAGCTGACAATAAATTTTATTGGCAAACGTAGACGTAAAACATAAGATTAAATAGTTTTAACAGATTATTTTAAGATTTTATACATATGATATAGTCTAATTAGTTACTGAGATGTAAAGTAATTCACTGAAAAACCAATATGAATAAAGTATTCTTACAGGTACATTAGAAAAATAAACTCAGTTATTACGAATACATAACAATTTAAGGTTGTTGAAACACCTGCGACGACTTTGTTATGTTTGACTATAGCATCCTTTTTGTGGCTAAAATCGAAGTGAATAATTAAATGAATAGTTTCTTCTGGGTACAGAATGGCCTTGAGAAGTGTAAAGTGATTTTGTGCTAGCTTTAATTATGAAATATGTTGTTGATTGATTGTCTTAAAAGAAGCTAAGAACAATTCAGCTTTTGACAGTTAACTGTAAGGTACCAGCTGAGTGGTGATTGTTATTCAGTTAACTCTCTGATTTTTCAGTAGAATGAAATATTTCCTCTTTTCTCGGTGATCTCTAAAATTTAAAACAGTTCTTACCTGTTCAATTCAATCTAAATCCGTTTAGCCTTTCAATTATGTAAAGCAGTCTAGGCAATAATCAACTGAATCCAATTGATGTTGTTATTCTAAAACTAGGATCAGTGAATAACAATTAACAGTAACAAACAAATTTCCATTGCTGTATATATTTTAGTTCGTTTTTATGAGCTTATTAGCCGTAATATGAACTATAACTTCGGTTACATTTCATCAATTAAAAATGACGATATTCTCTTACCACGGTAAAATAGTCATGTTTTATTTTGATATCTGTTACAAAAATATAAGGTTTCACCAAATGCCTACAGTTCAACGAATGTGAATGTAGGAAGCTCAGTAAACTGGCCTCGTTTATTTACTTTATTCTCAGAGAGATAATTGCGTTAATTTAATTAATATAAATACTTGTTTTTTTAAACAGGACACAATCATATCTTTTTCAGTATGATGAGATTGGTTATGTGTTGATCGGCTTTTCATTATTAGATCTTTTGTCTACGTGTAGGTTTTACACAGACTTGAAAGAAAATTAATTATGCTACACAAGTAAAACAACAGATTTTTTGCAACCTTAAATATGATATCTTATCACTATCTGAATCTAATTCTAGTACTTTGATGACTTGTTTCACCGGAAACGAATACCTGAAAGTTTAAACCATAGACTTATCCATATTCATGGTAGATGGTCTTATTTCTATATTGTTTGGCAAGAGTTTTCGAAGTGTCCATGCGAAATATGAGTCGAAGGGTAAGAAGACGAACCTTAATGAATGGATGATAATGAAGAAACCAAGCTGTACATCTTATCGCGTTTTGCTAAAATATCAGACTAGTGATTAAGTATTTTACCGATAAAGAACTCAATGAAGTACTAAAATACGTACAAGATATTTATCAAAGGAACCATATAAATTTACAACTAATGGTATGGTCGGAGCGTGCTAATGAGTTGGAAGCAGCATCTGGTAACTACCGGAAGCTCTTCCAGCTCATCCGAGCCACTGGCAGCAAGAAGTCTGGTGTGAGTGAAACAATCTGCGAGGATGATGGGATGCCAATCACTAACATCCATCGACGTCTTGGACGATGGGCAGAATTTTTCGAAGGGCAGTTCAACTGGCCTGCTGCTCCGGCAACATCGGTCAGACTGTCCTGCCCTCCATGGCCGGTGACGACTGATCCACCAAACGAGGAGGAAGTCCGCAAGGAACTCCAACTCTTGAAGCGTTACAAATCACCTGGCCCAGATGACTTACCTCCGGCTCTTTTTAAAGATGGTGGTGACTTTTTGACTAAGGAATTGACGACGTTGTTTACAAAGGTTTGGGAACTAGAGAGTGTACCAACGTCATGGAATGAGTCGATAGTTGTCCCTATCTTTAAAAAGGGTTCACGTCGTTCCTGTAACAACTATCGGGGGATAAGTCTACTTCCGATTGCGTCCAAGCTATTGGCTTCCGTCATACTTCGTAGGTTGTTCAAAACCCGAGAAAGATTGACTCGCGAGGAGCAGGCTGGGTTTCGTTCTGGTCGAGGATGTATTGATCATATCTTCACCCTCCGCCAAATGTTAGAACACCGCCATACTTATCAAAGGCCAACAATCGTAGTGTTTCTTGACATCAGGGCTGCCTTCGATTCGTTGGACAGGACTGTTCTCTGGGATTGTCTATTGAAGAAGGGTGTGCCTGAGAAGTTTATTAACATCCTAAAAGCCCTATATAAAACACCTCAGGCAGAGTGAGGGCATACAACCACCTCTCTCCATTGTTCCATTCGAGCAGTGGGGTTAGGCAGGGTTGCCCAATCTCACCATTCCTCTTCAACTTTGCCATCGATGACATTCTGGAAACAGCTCTGATGAATGTAAGTAATGGTGGTGTGGATCTGTTGCCTGGAGAAAGACTTCTCGACCTTGAGTATGCGGACGATATTGTCTTACTGTGCGATAATGCCCAAGGCATGCAATCCGCACTTAATCAGTTGGCAATCAGTGTCCGTAGGTATGGTATGTGCTTTGCACCTTCGAAGTGCAAAGTACTTCTACAAGACTGGCAGGATTCCAATCCTGTACTCACCCTGGATGGTGAGCAGATAGACGTAGTCGAGAAGTTCGTGTATCTGGGTAGCTGCATAAGTGCTGGTGGGGGTGTGAGTGATGAGATCAATGCACGAATAGTGAAAGCCAGAGCGGCTTATGCCAATCTGGGCCACCTTTGGCGCCTTCGTGATGTTAGTCTGGCTGTAAAAGGTCGGATCTACAACGCGTCGGTGAGAGCAGTTTTGCTCTATGCTTGTGAAACCTGGCCTCTCCGAGTTGAGGACGTTAGACGACTCTCTGTGTTCGATCATCGCTGTCTCCGAAGGATTGCTGACATTCAGTGGCAACACCATGTCAGTAATGCAGAGGTTCGGCATCGTGTGTTCGGGCACAGAGATGATAATTCAATTGGTGTCACCATCTTGAAACACCGACTTCGGTGGCTTGGACATGTTCTCCGAATGTCGTCCCAGAGAATTCCACGTCGTGCATTATTTGCCGACTCTGGGACTGGTTGGAAGAAGCGGAGAGGTGGTCAGTGCATGACATGGTGTCGTGGCATGAAAGAAAGCTGCAAAGGACTGGCTTGTGTTGGTCCTTCACGACTCCCTGGTTGGGGTCCGAGAGATGGTGCTACACAGTGGCTAGAGACGTTATCAGATATGGCTCAGAATAGAAGCCAGTGGCGATCCTGCTGTAACCTTCTTTTACTTTCTTCATAAAAAGTGGTTGTGTCTCCCTTACCTGAAAGATTTCTTCTGATTGTACCTTTCCGTTCCCTCGTTACTACCACACTACCTTACACCAATCTCTTCGTTATTGTTCTCTTTTTCTTTTGCGCTCCTTAGTTTTTTTTCTATTTCTCTTCGAATTCTCATTGTTTTGTGTGGCGCATATATATTGGCGCTCTCTTGTACCAATATTCATGTGTTCAAAAAATATATAATAATAATGATTCGGTTCGTTTCGTGATGGTATTAATTTGATTAGTTCAGTATATTTACACAACAAGCTATTCATAGCGTTTCAGTAAAAATTGTTTAGCACAACAAGCACTTGGTGTTGTGTGTGGCTTAGAAACAGAAGTGAATAACTCCCGTGTGTGATAAATAAATATGGATTTAAAAAACCTGTTGTATAACGTAATATTTAAACATGACAAGGTTAAGTAGACTTTCTTTGTGACTAGATACTTTGATCTCAAAGCTTTTTCCCGGTAATTAATTTCACATTCTGAAGTGTTGTAACGTGTGGGACTGCAGGTTTTGATAAGCAGCGTATCTATCGATCGATCGATAACAGTGACACGGAAAACACGTATGAACGACCTAGTGCCCTGATTGGTCCCGCTTCGCAGTCTGTCCCAGCCAGTTGAGTCAAGAACGCAAGTCACAGCCTCTGGGTTATGAATCATTATATTTCAAACATACCTTGTTTATATACCAATCAAGCATACCACATCGTACCTTAAAATAGGAAACAACATTTACAAAATATTTAACAAGTGAAATAAACATCGACCAATAAGAAATGTACATTTAAGGTCCAAGGCCACCATAGACTTAACACGATAATTATTGGTATATTTTTCCGACTATCCTAACATGAAGTTAGATGAATTCATTGATTTTTATTCTAAATGCCGTTTTGTTACAGAGTTGTAAAGAATATTATAATTCTGGCACATGTGTTGCACACTGTCCATCTAGAACAATAATTCATGAAGGCAAGTTAATTTCGAATCCTGAGTTCAAGTACCGCTTGGGAAATCTATGCTTATCGGTTTGTCCAGGTAGGTTATCAGTATAAACTAATATTACTGTCGGTTTATAATACAATCTTTATTTTACCGCTAGCGATATTTTCTAGATTTCTAACACATTAAACAGCTGTTATACGGAATCCCATAAAAACTTGCTAACATAAATCTGTGCTTTTGGCGACAAAAGAAAAGTGTGTTTGTTTTTGGTTCATTCATGTTATAATCTCTTTCCTTACGGTTATGACCCAACTATTCCTACTGCTTAATATTCTCGGACACCGATTCACTCGACAAGTCTCCATATCAGAACACGCTTGAATAGAAAAGAGATTATATTCCAAATAACAAGGTTAGATGGAAGTAAGAAGCACAATAGGGAAAACGTTAGTATATTTATAGTTTTTACATGAGAAGATTCTAGAGTATCCCCAACTATCGCCTAGTGCTGATTGGATAAGAATTAGTCAATCAGTATGCACCAAAGCAATCGTGCATTGAGCATGCTTTAATCCAGTCTATGTCCCGCTAACACTTCTGTATAGTGTTTGGAAGTCCTACAGATACAGATTCCACCAAATTCGTCTTTACGGGCAATCTTATTAATACTGTATTAAAGATTCATGAAAGGAACTGGATGTGTATGTTTAAATTATCATTCAAAACTATAATATCATCAATTGAAATACTTACATTTCTACATTCTAAATATTACTTTAGGAATTTTCGCATATTAAATAAGTCATAAATTTGTAAAATCATATTCGGAAATAACTTTATGTATCGTTTAAAGATCCCCGTCATATCAAAAGACTAATATTTGAACGAAGAATATTCTTTTCGATAAATTCTCTTCAGGTTCTACAGTTATATATCCAAATTATTAATCCGAAAAATGGCCAAGTTAAGGGTAAAGTACATCGTTTAGAGCATGTGAATTTAGGATTGTGATAAACAAAATACAATAAAATTGTTAATGTTAATATGACTCATATAAATGTTAACTTGAATCTGCGTATATGTTAAATGAAATTTTAAGATCCATGATCAGAATAAATATGGGTCAAATAGGGTGAGACAGAAATAATAGTGCAATTACAATTCGATCAAATAAGTAAGACGTAATACGGAGGAATGAATGCGAAGTGAATGAATCATGTAAAGGGGAGATTAATGATATTTAACCAATAGTACGAATAATAATAATAATAATACAAAGATTTATGAATAAAGATAACAGGGACAATTACAATTGACTACGAAAGGTCATAGTCAAATTGGGTCATTCAATAGTTAAGATTACGATTGATTAATTGGCCTTGATGTTGGCCAGGGAGGAGGAGTGGCTGAATATATTTCTTCTGTACGCATAGCTCCGGTTTCTTCATTCGGATGGCTACTGCTTCAGCCGTTTGAAGGACTTTCAGTCTGACCAGTTTTGGCAAAAAATTACTGACCTTATAAATAATTGAAAAAGATTGGTTTATACTGGCACTATGACCGGTTTGTACTAAATGGGCCAATATTGAGCTGTTCACCTTCTTCATCAAACCTTTGTTTAACCACGCCGGAAGGTGTTCACGAGCACGAAAATGTAAATTCCTAGAACTTCGACCAATATAACTCGCTCCACAGGAGCAGTTGAACTGATAAATACAAAATGAGGTGGTCATTCTAGGTAATTCATCTTTTAGCTTCGGTGTAACCATTGGGCGCGTAGAAAATACTAATCGCAGTTCTCCGGCGTTAAAAGACTTTTGTATTGTCCTACGTAGTCTCTGAGTTAGTATTTCGCTAGCCGCATCCCCTCTGAATTGTAGACGCATGAACAAGGATTTCTTCTTCACTGTTTGTATTTCGCCTACTTTCGCCTTCGTGACCATATATTTAATTATAAACTTTCTAGGGTAGCCGTTCTCCCTGAGAGTATTATGCAAGGTGGTAAGCTCTTGTTCGACTATATCAGCAGAACATATAGTGCGAATACGGTAGCTAAGGTTTTTGATCAAATTTCGTTTGTACTGTAGAGGTACAAAGCTCAGGAAATTCGTATACTGCCCAGTCCAAGTACTTTTTCTGTTTATATTCCTTTTTAACGATCCATCCGCTCTCTTAGTCAAGAGAACGTCCAAAAAGGCTATTCGGCCATCACTCTCTTCTTCAGATGTAAACTGAATGGCTGGATGCACTTCATTAAATCGTCTAAGAACCTCTTGGGGCGATGTATTATCTTTACAGAGGATGAACGTGTCATCCACGTATCTACAGTAAAATGTGAAGTTGTCAATAATCTTTTTTAGTGGACCATTTTCTAGTTTGGCTAGAAAAATATCAGCTAGTATAGGGCCCAGTGGTGAACCCATTGCAACACCATCAGTTTGTCTATATATTTCCCCGTTGAACTTGAAATTTACATTCATGGTGCATTTGAGTAATAACTCTTTCACGACGCTAATAGGGACAGTAGTTTCAATTTCATTTTCTATCAGCTGTTCACCTATATATTCTACAGTCTCTATGAGTGGGACGTTTGTGAATAACGATGTTACATCCAATGACATCATCTTCAGTCCCAACGTATTTGCGTTTTTGATTTTATCAACAAATTGGAAAACATCCTTAACACTATATTTTACAAGCTTTTCGTGTAGAGGTTTCAATACAGTTACCAGCCATTTAGCTATAGTATGGTAAGGAGAGTTATACATATCTAAAATAGGTCTTAATGGGACACCCGGTTTGTGCACCTTTATCAATCCATACAATCTCGGCATATGGGTTCCCACTGGTTTAATCATTTCATATAAACCCGATGGGATAGCCTGTTGGTCCCTGAGCTTCTTCAGAGATCTGGTAAGCTCATTCTCTATCTTATTATTCAAATCTTTCTGGTCAGTTGTTTTTTGAAACTTTGATTTGTCATTTAAGATTGTACTCATTTTTTCAATATAATCACTTTTATTAAGAAGAACGACACATGAACCTTTGTCAGGTTTTGTAATCAGTAACGTCTCATTCTTAAGAAGTAGGTTAATAGCTTCCTTGTGCTTCTTCGTGAGAATGCTTTTGTAACATATACGCAGATTCAAGTTAACATTTTATATGAGTCATATTAACATTAACAATTTTATTGTATTTTGTTTATCACAATCCTAAATTCGCATGCCCTAAACGATGTACTTTGCCCTTAACTTGGCCATTTTTCGGATTAATAATTTGGATATATAATTGTAGAACTTTATGTATGTTCGAAACGACAATGCACTGTCACTCTACGTAGTTTAGTTATAGAAATTAAGCCTAAGAAAACCTATTTTGTATATAATTTGTTAGAAATCTAACTAGAACACGAACTGCTTGAAAAAAAAACAAGTATTACAAAAGTACTTCTAGATGCTATTGCGACCTAACAAAACTGTTCACGGAAATATTACGTCGACACTATAGTATTTGGTGAGATAACTAGTCGGGAATCGTACAGACCTATGAGTTACGTAAGTCTTTACTGCCTTAAAGGTTCTAGCCAGCATTAAACTAATATTTATACAGTTTTACTAAAACATGAGGATGCAACGGCAGGTCACCATTTACCATAAACTATAGGAACACACCTGAAGAGCTGCTAGGTGTTGAAATATATTTCTCAAAATCCTAGTGATCAGTAAGAGCAATCAAGTCGGAATGTGACAGAAACTAACTGATGAGATTTGTTAAAGGTCGTGAAGGATTTGAGAGAACAATATGAAACATTAGATTGTAACCCAGAAATTTAAGGGTATTGTTATATCCAAACGAAGAATAGATGAATGGTAACTGTTAGAAATTATTTATGGAATATTATTACAAATATTCTTATTGCATAATTATCAAGTAACTAGATTATATATATAAATATATCCCTTTTATCATAAGCTTTCATTTGATTTATTGGCTACTATTATACGATTTACTGTTCTTCATTTATTCCTAATCTGTTAGTTATAGTCTCCTATATACACAGCCCTTTAAGCTTGATCTTGAACAATTATTATTTTTCATTTCATGGTGTGAATGAGGTTTGGTCTGCTTGTATATCAACAACGTATATCTGAAATATATTATTCATACAGTGGAGGCGGATATTGTGTTCTGGATTCAACGCGCAGGACTAGGCAGGGAGCTTATATGTCAAGGGCCAATAAGGGTTCAGAGTTGTCTCAAGGCTGCTGGTGATATTTGACATGCCTTTGGTTTAGAACATGAACAAGGTCATAGAAGTCGGTATTCTGGTTAACGATTTAGTCACATAATATTTGTCGGGCTATAGGACAAAACAGGTACCTTACTCTGTAAGATTTTGAATGAACCGTCTTAAATTCCACATAGCGTCAAGACTGTGCACCTTTGAAAAGTGCTTGTCATGATGAAAGTAGTGTCTATTGCATTCTAGTTATTGATGTTTCTTCAGTTGGTATTTGATCATAGAAAACGTTCTGTTTACATAAGAAAAAATGTTGTTCATGTGAACAGTAGAAGTGCTTTTTAAACCATCATATGTCATACGCAAATGGAATAGTCAAATATCTGCACTGACAAATTATTTTAGGACATTGGCTTTTGATTTGGATCGTCATAGGACAAAGAATAAGTAATTGGCAAACTTATTTGAAAATCAACTAGATGTAACATAGTCCAAATCATTCGTCAGGTTTGTTCATTGTTTAATTAGTGTTCAAGAACTTCAGACCTAAGATAGCTGTTCCACAGAGTGCACGCACTTCGGGTTAGTATGACGTTCACCAGTGAAACAACTCGTCGTAAATCATGTCACGCTGTTCGGAAAGGATTTTCCACTACTTTAAACTTTTCTTGTGATTTATTCTAAAATGCTGCAAACCATGATCATGATATAATGTTCAGCACTAACTACTGTGAAATAACACTTCACGGAAACGAAGTTGCATAATCTTCAAAGCCGAACATTTTGTTGTCCGATTAGTATTGGCGTTTACGTTGTGGGTTGATTTCCAGCGCTCTTTCGTGTATTTGTTTTGAGTGCAGTCCTGACGTCAAGTTTCGAAAGAATTTAGCATTTTCTGTTTAAAAATAAGCAGCATGTATTTTGAATTTAAATTCAAAATGCTTGATATATTTTCATCCAAAACACAGACTACTTTCTGTTTATTTAATTTTGGTTTCCAGATGGATTCATGGTTGAAGGTGATGTATGTGTGACTCATTGCTCTACAGGTAGTATGAGTACAGATGGACGTGTATGTCTTCCATGTCAAGATAAATGTCCAAAATGTCAGTTTTTTTTATTTTACTTTTTTGTAGTATTTTTATAAACAAATACTATTTCATAAATAGATATTCGATGAATTAGTACCATTCACCTTCAAATAGAATGTTTGTTTATTTACAGTGGACACTATTTGTTTTTGAAATGGAGTATTTGGTCATTTTCATGTCGTAAAAGATTAATTGAAATTAAAGTTAATAAATGATCACAAAATACTAGGATAAATGCTTAATTACTTGGCTTAAAGAGACTTGAATTTAGCGAATGAAGCATTAGAAACTAGAAGGTATTCCGTGGTAATCACTGTGTCTTTAAGTAGTATAGTTCTATCCTGGAAACAAATTTAAAAAAAACTTTCTGAATGCACAATCATTTACTCCAAATGGTAATATTGTGAACAGTTTGAGGTGACGCTTAAAGCCTCAGAATGGAAGTATGATTTATTTCAAGTAGACTTCAAGAAAACATACCAAGCATACTACACGTTTCATCCAAAATCCAATATTACAAATTTAAATGGAAAGAAAAATTAACGACGTTCTTCGACTTTAACATATTCCTAGACACATTAAGAATGCAAAATAAATTAGACGAACAAGTCACAGTTGATAAATAGCCGAACTAAAAATCTGCATCAAAATTTACGGAACAAATAGAGTGAGAACACTTCTCAGATAGCGTATAACCAATCAAAAGGTTTTAATCCATCAATATTTAGAAAGTTGTTAAAATTTAAATCTGCTTATCACTAAACGGATTCTGAATCAACTTGAGAAGATAAACCAAAAATGTAGCCCTCATGATTCATATAGTTTACATAGCGTAATGAAATATTAGTATACCACTGGATAGGCTTGTGTGTGCAATTATATTGATATAATAAGTGATGCTAACTCCTAAATATGTTATAGCACATGGTTAACATTCACTCTTTATTTTCCATTACATTTGTAAATTTCTTTTATTATAAAATATATATATTTGTATTGTACATCCATGAATCCACACTAATGTTTTATCGAATATGGAGAAAATCCGTCTTGATTTTGTAACGGTCATTTAAATTAATCAACCAAAATTTACATTTTACATTTATATATTTTCCAATATGCATGATATAACAACCACGGTAAAAGCATTTTTTCTTGAAATTTCAACGTCTACAGCTGGATTTAGTAGTTACGAATACTATATGTGTGCCACCCAGCGTACTGCTACAATCCTGTATTTAGCATATGAGCAAACACTTTCTAAACGATAACTAAGTCGTATCAATAGAAGTTAAAACAAAGTAAATACATTGCGCTTTGCTGAGGAGTCCTACAGTAGGACGAATTGGCCGTCCAGTTCGTCTAGGTATTCCATGGTGGTCTAGTTGCAATTTATTCACTAACTCAAGTGTTAAATACATTCTTAAATTGAATCTGAAGAACATAAAAACTAAGATGTCAGTTTGACATAAGTAAATTTCAATTACTCTATGAATACATTTATATGAAGTTAACAATGAAACAAAAAATTACTCTCAAAACAGCGAAATAAGATTTCATATTAGTCCATTTTTTAAATTATGCTTTGTATTGAATACTCAAGAGATATACAGTGAAATAAATTATTTAACTGAAAATCAAAAGCCAGACAATAGACAACCTATACTAAAATAATGTAACAACAACAACAATGTGTTTCTCGCTTATAAGAGCCAAACATTTTGTTTTTTCATCAGTGAGAGATCTTCAAAAAGCATGGAGAGTTTGATCGCTTAACTGTAAAAGAAAGATACGCTTTAAAACAACTGTAAATCCAAACTAATTACCGAAATGAATAGCCAAATTTAAGGTAAATGGATATAATTTAGTTATGTGAGACTATTATTCTATAAAATATTAAAATATAATAACCGAGTGCGTATCACTATATATAACGAAGTGTGTCTCATATGCCATGCTCTTTATGCATCGTTATATTTTGTTGTTTAACTATGATTATAGTTGAATTTACCTATCTAATGTGCATCTATTCAAACTATAAAATTGCTGAGGCTAATGAAACTTATCACAGCCAGACTCAAAACTATGACACGTATCAAAACTTATTTCGAATGTTTCAAGAAATATCTGTTATCAGTATGGGGTTGTGGAGATTGTTGAGTTTCACAGTAACCATGAACCGATCAATGTTAGATCACCATTGATAACCTGGAAGCACTGGATGGCCGTTTCGTCCTAGTATGGTCTAAACTTTAAGCGCTCGCGCGTTAAGCCGTTGTTTTGATTCCCGCATGCGGGGTCGTCGATGCTCACTGCTGTATAGTCTCATACTAGGACGAAACGACCATCCACTTCTTCCAAGTTTTTAATGGTGGTCGGACATCCATCGGTACACAATCTCACTAAAATGTCAGTCAAATAAAGTGAGGCAATTAACGGTAATGCCGACTGAAATATTACTTTGTCTAACAGTTCTTGTCTATAACCCATTAGAATTCCATCCGTACTGACAATGAAGTCCATAAGCATTTTTTTATAAATATCAGTTTTGAATTTTGTTAGTATAATTTAAAGTTCACCTTTAAGAAATAATGACTATTATTGCATAATTTATATATAAATTCACGCATCTCGTTCATTAACGCACTGTCTTCATTTTCCTATTAAGCCTGTAAAATCACTGATAAGGAAACGAAAAATGGACGTAAAATGAGTAATTTTGATTTAAGAAATTTAAATCAATTAATTAACTGTACTATACTAGAAGGTAATTTGATCCTAACAAAAGAATCATTTAATCCAAGGTTGGTTATTGTCTTCTTGTGTTGATTTCATGTTATTTTATTTAAAAGAAATAAAACTGTCAGTGCTTATGTAGATGATTACGTAGATGGGTGATCTAGACGATAATTGTGAACATAGATCCAATCTAATTGCCGTAGTATTTTTTCTGTCTGACAAATTCTAAACAGTACTGTGAATACGTCAGTAACGTAGAATATAGGTGGAATTTCCTATTTATTTTAAAACGAAAATACTAGGCATATGTTTGTATGAGATTATAGTCGTGATAGTGGAAGAATACGATTAAATTTAACCAATAATCTTTCTACATTTTAGACTAAACCTTAGTGAGCACTAAATTCGGTAGAACATTAAATCAGCTGAAGAAATAGGACACTGGTTTGGCTATTTTAGTCTAAAGATGCCACATACTTGCCTCAGAAATGACCTAAAAGTAAATGAATTAATTCTAGTTAGAGCGTTTATGGAAAAATGGGAGTTTTTAGACAAAGAGATGGAGACAAACTATATGTTGGTGACATGAGCTACAGAACACAAATAAAAAATGACTTCAGGTTTTATTTTACGCCTACTGGTCGAAAAGCTACTACTTATTAAGCTCTACATTATCTCGCTGTTGATATCTAGAGCTGGATTTTAGCAAGTCTCTTATGACAAAAGTCCATCCTGATCCTTATTACGATTTTTAGCGTATATGGAATATGGCTACCATACTCGTTAAGCGAATTAAAGACAGGTTGAACTCTAGTTAAGTGGGCGATGCGTCAGGATTTAGAAAAATCAGTGTGCCTACTTACACCAGAATATATGTACGTTCAACTACCGAGTTCCGAATGAAATAAAACGGATAACTTAGATTCCTAATAATAGCCACCCTCCGAATATACGAACGAAACTTTGTTCTGAAACTTGAAAGTTATTCTCAAACTGACCTTCGAGCAAATGCAAAGAAAATAGTGAAATTCTCTGATTATCAACACCAACTAAACAGGTAATAATTTCAGTTACATAATTTTCTTAGGAAATTTGAAGTTCAAACATTTGTTCACTTTCACTGACTTTTCGTAGACGTAAAATATTTCATATACCAGTTTTTAAATGTAAATCTCTTCTGTTGTTTGCAAATTTCCATGCTCTCATAGGACTTAATTATAGTGCTTGATTAGAGTATTCGGAGCTTGGAACTACTACTACTACTACTACTGCAAATTTCTGTTCTCCATAAAACAAACTACGAAACTCCATGATGATTACTTCAAAGAAAACGATAACTCAAGTACCTGGTTACAATGCATCAAAAATAATTAGGCTTAAAACATTTAAGAAAAGTTTCTTATTTCTGCAAAGTTTAGGTAAAATAGATCATGTATTCTAATCATTTTGATCTCTTTTCTTAAACTGTTACACAGAAATATGTGATATTTTTAAATCTACAGAAATTTTCATACTTAATACAGTTCTGCATTCCAATGAATCGAAATATGTACACTTGTCTCGTTTAAATGATTAATACTATAGTTATAAGTTGTAAACAACTAAGGAGAATCCATGAAATAAATGAATCTATATTATTCTGGTGCGAAATTTGTTCTTTCTTTATCCAAGTTTATAAATGAGAAAAACTATATAAAGAAGTGTTGAGTCTGAAATTACAATAAACGACTTATAATATTTAAGAATAACAAAATTTTTGAAATGGATATTTTGCATTATACATCGCGATAAGTAGACTACTTCGAGAACCATAAATTTTGTCGTTAAATGTCTATAAATAGTATCAAATTGTACTGATTACTTATGGGTTTAGTTAATATACTTTGTGAACATGTTGGTAAGTGTTGAAAAGTTTGAAACAGCAAATGTCTGTCATTATATTATTCCCAGATATTTCTTGTTTTATTTTCTTAGTTCTGATCTAACCGATCATATCCCAATCACAGATCACCGTCAATTATGGGCTTTACATTCATTAAGAGAAATAACTGGTTATATATATTTAGATTTGGAATTACTTGGCGATAGTCTGAGAAATTTTAGTTTTCTTGAAAATCTTGTGAAAGTCAGTGGTTATCGTAAGTTCATTTACTTATTTCATCTAAACATATTCCTTCAAAACATATATTTTATATGGTGGAGATTTGTAGCTCAGGTGGATGATTTTTGTGGAGTTCTCTGTGCTGGATGGTTTGTTCATAAATCTTTCATTTATCTAATACCTAGTTTCTCTTAGAAATCGTCATAAATAGTGTCTAAAACCTTATTTTCTAAATCATTAGGTCATGTACGAACTATAGTTTGGCACAGATTTGTATCACTCTGTAACGTGTTAGCTTGGTTACATAATCCATAGCACCATTGTTTCAAGGATTCTGCCAATCTTTCAATATTTAACATCTCTATATGTAACTGCATACTTCGCTATCAAATGAACAAACAGAAAGATTCGTTCGTACCTTAAGATGAGAAACTGTGTAGACATCGAGAAATGTACAACTGAAGAAGTCATCTAACAATTCCTTCCCGTACATTGAAGCACACCAAACCCAGGTGGAATTGTGGAGGTTTGGTGAATGGATTTTCTGATGGGTCAGAATCTAAAAACGGAACTTGATGTTGTGGACCAGACACTTTATAAAGGCTTTATGTTTCATGTACCACTTTATGATTGCTATTGCTTTTATTATCATTATTATGACTATCAGTCAAACGTAACATTCAGAAATATGAATCACACAATTAAACAGAATGCTTCGTTTACTATTTATCAAGTCAGAACATATAATCGCATCTTACGTTTCAGAAATTGAGTGACCGATCTCAAAAGTACTTTTTTCAAACAATAATATTTGCAAAGATAACTGAATTTCATTGTTCGTCAGTGTTCTCGTGAATTATCTCAAGTAGATAATAAAGTAAATTAGTCTTGCTGAGTTATACTACTCTTCACTATAAAAGTAGTGTTTTCTCGTTATACTTTCTTGTAAGTGAAAAACGAAGAAAATTGTTTAAACCAAGGTTTTGCTACTTCATGCTAATAGGTTCATCAAAGTAATGATGGTTTTAGCTGTTTTTTATCTCACTGTATGACATAAATTTCTATCAGTCATAAATATTATTTACCCAACACGCAGATTTCCAAGCTATTCAATATGAACTCGGTTTGGACACATAATCGTATGTCTTCGTTTTAAGAAGTTTGGTAAAGTGTTTATTACAAACATGGCAACCGTATAGTGAGGATAAAAACTCCCAACACACACTCAACAAGCCCTTAAGGATTTCGTTTATCAGTCTAATAAGTAAATTATATAGATGCACGAACTTTTCTACCTCTCTGTTCTACTTATATTTCAGTACCTTCTGCACGAGTGAGTATAATGATTATAAACAGTAAGGCGCATTTTCCTGGATTAAGAAGCCTTCGACATGTTCCACATGGAAGAGTTATATTTCACCAAAACCCCAACTTGTGTTATTTATCCTCACTGCCTTGGACTAATTCAGGTAAATTTGGACCATGGGTTTTTATGGTTTCATGGCATTAATTAGCTTTAAGAAATGGTTAGGAATAAGTTTGCTTACATATAGGAATGATATATTGCGTCGTTAAATCATGAAAATCATTAACGAGAGGTTATTTTGGTAATGATCAGTGATAATTGATAACTTTCCTTAAGATATCAATTAGTCACTTTCATCACTATTCAACGTAAATAATTAATTGAATGGGTTGTACCATTAATTTCTGAAACTCACCTACCTCGAAGAAAGGCTGATTATCCCAGCTTTTTACATTTGCGAAACCCTTTTAAGTATTTCTGGTGTATTATATTCTTTCTTGAAAATGATTAAGTTTTCATTTCACTTATTTGGATTAATCAAACTAAAGGCGAATAAGTTAGCGACTTAACAATTGTCGATACCACAAAATCCTTTGGTTCAAATTAATATTACAGATTGAAACTAAACTAGAATCATATGATCATATGAGCATCCTGAAATCATCATCTTTTTCACAGAATTACATTCATAAATAGGTTTAATAAAATTGGCAAGTCATAATGTATCCATAGTTCATATTTTTAAGAATTTAGTGTTTCCTTTTGTTTATGAATATTTTTACGGTCTAAGATTAAGGAATTAGAATGGTTTACATAATTTAATTAGACTGGATGATCTTTAGAAATAATACTGGTATATGACCTAGTTATTTTATGCGTACATTCCGCTTGATATTCAGTCAGTCAGTCAGCTACAACGTAGGACCAGGCATATATATGCATCCGTCCAAGTTGTCATAGCTCATTAACACAACAAGATGGACACCGGATTCATAGGAATAGTTAAGTCAATGGTGGTAGCATATAAAAGAAAGACTGCATATAAGGATATAGTACAAGAAGAAAGATTTAGTATGTAGAAAGAAATGAAGCTATTTTAATCTCTTAGTTTAAGGGAAGACAGAGAGTGTATGCACCTACGCCATGTCACCCAGAGTCTCCAACCATTGGTTACGATAGTCACGTGGACCCCAACCACGTAGTCTGCATCTACCAACATGGCTCAGATCAGATGATAGTGTCTTCAAACACTGATGCCACGTTTTGGTTTGACCGCCCCTAACTTTGTTCCAACCATCCCCAACACCGTTTAGCATTGCATGTCTTGGTAATCGGTGTTCAGGCATAGGCAAGACGTGGCCCAATCATCTCAGTCGATGAAGATTCATAACCTCATCAACTGATTTAACATCATTCCCTAATACCCTGTGTCTAACTTCACTATTACTTACCCAGTGATCCTAGCATATACGAGCAATTTTTCTAAGGCATCTGTGGTCAAATACTAGTAGTTTATGAGTGTCTTCTACTCTTAATGGCCATGTTTTGCTGCCGTAAATTAAACAGAACGGACTGCCGCGCAGTATAAACGTCCCTTTATTGATAGACGGATATCTCGCCTTCGCCATAGGTGATATAGGTTGGCAAAAGCCAAGCGAGCTTCTCGAACCCGTGTTGAGATTTCGTCAGACAACAACCCATTAGGGCTGATCAGACTTCCAAGATAAGTGAAGTTGTTAACACGTTCGACTACTTCATTCCCTATCCTTAGTTCAGATGCTGAAGCAGGCCAGTTCTGAAGCAACAACTTGCATTTAGAGGGAGAGAGGCGCATTCCAAACATTCTGGCATTGTTGCTCAGTGCTACTAAAAGATTTTGCATTTTATCAGCGTCTTCACCAAACAGGACTATGTCATTTGCGTATTTAAAGTCTCTAAGTGGACCTCCTGAAGGGAGATCAATGCCTGAGAATTCAGTCAACGAGAACGTTATTTTCATCAGTAGGTCTATGATGAAGTTAAACAAAAATGGAGAAAGTGGACAGCCTTGACGGACACCAATTAAGGTTGCAAAATCAGATTACAGTTCACCATAAGCTCTGACTCGACTAGTAGTGTTCGAGTAAAGAGCCTTCACAAGGTTTATGTACTTCTGAGGTACGCTTTTCAATGACAGACACTGCCACAGAATCTCGCGGTCTACCGATCCAAATGCTGCTTTTAAGTAAAGAAAGACCACCATTGTCGGACGCCGATAAGTATACCTATGTTCTAGAACCTGACGAATGGTGAATATGTGGTCGTACTAGACAATGTCTTCCTTATGCTTAAAATTTGTGTTACTAAAATTAAACGATTTCTGAGCACAGTTGCGCAGACGATCACATTATCTTTCGCGGTGCCGGAATAACAAAATACTACATATATGCCTTTCTGTTTGGTTTAAGCAACCTACTTGGGCAGACGAAAAGGCAACGACGTGTGTCCCTGTCCTTTCGACTTCTTACGTAGCCGTTAAGCCGAACAGCAGATAAATGACTGTTAACGGGAATCCATTTTAAAAGGGCTTGTTCTGCCCTCATGCTTAGTGCTATGCTTACACCTGCCAGTCCACGAGAACTGGCCATCGGGTCACCAGATACACGTAGGGTGTATCTCGTCGGCTCTCCGTCTTCCCAAGGTGAGGTCAAGTGAACTACCACACTAGGATTCTGTATTCGTGTTTCGGAGACACAGCATACATCAATGGTACAAGATTCTAGGGTTTTAGCCAAGGAGGCCTGGTGAATGGTTCGACATAGAGTGCGTACGTTGAAGGCTCCAATGTGTAGTTTGGGGCGAGGTCTCAGTAGACCTGGGACAGTATTTTGCTCACTAGAATCGTTGGCTAGGTGGGCATTTTTAGGGTCGACCTTTTCTAACTCCACCCCTCCTTATGGGATTTGTTGGATTTGTTGCTTTTAGTCTTACCGCCCTTCTATCGACCTGTCTGATATGGTAGGACCTAGAGGAACGTTTGTTCCAGCCAGTATAGCTCGGTTGCTTCGTCACGATAGGCAACTCCGACCACCACGTCAAGGTAGTAACAACGCTCGGGAGCTTGATATTGACCTGGAGCAACACGTTTTACAGCATGCCGACTTGGATTTATATTGCAAGTAAAGTATATTCAGATAACATTAAACAAGAGGATTTGGGGATTCGTAGGTTTCACTAGGATTAGCATTTGTGGTACTTTATCCTCAGAGTTTCTGATAAATATAAGTTGAATTTTCAAAATCACTTGAGTACTTAATGTACAAAACCTGTCTATCTCCAACCTATCTTAAGAAATCTCTGCTTGTGATTAAAACTTTAAACCGTAGACCTCTTAACATAAATACCATTACACTCAGCTAATAAATTGGTGCTTACTTGATGAGGTCATGACTTACATTAACGATCAAATATCACTTACATTTATGTAATAATCTTTGTTGAGTATATTTACAGCTAAAATAAAAGGCTCACACAATATGAGTTAGGTATACATGATAATTATATGAGACGGGATTATTATCATTATTGTATGGGTTAAATTATATTCTAGAAGTGAGTCAATAAGAATAGAGAAAATTATTTCCGTGTTTTTAAGCCAAATTCACAAAGGAATAAACTATCTTACATCACAAAAAGTGTTGAATAAAATAACTCTGTATAGGGCTCAGAATGTTTAGAAATTAAAGAACAATCTTATTATAATATAGTCAAAATGACAATGCTCAACTGTCAGATGCTCACCTTTTTCTATTTATATCTTAAATATGACTTAAAAACTGAATTCGTTCTTACAGTAAAACGCCAAATAAATCAAAATGTTAATGGTGAATCGAATAATAGGTGAGCTGCAGACTAGGAATGGTAAATTGGCTAACGAATTTCATGCATGGCTTACGCATATAATTATCTTATAACTTCATCTCCTTTACTCTTTAACGAGATAAGTAACATTAATTTTGTTGGCGATGGTGAGGTTTCTATGGAAATAATCATGGATATGAGAAGGATATAAAAAATGATATATTCGCAACGTGATTGATGAAATAATGTCTTGAATCACTAATAAACCTCTTCAAACCAATTACTGGACTGTGACAAATTTCATTACTTCTGTTGTAAAGTATTATTGATATATACAGATTCTGTTCAGTGGCTGAAAATGGGTTCAAAATGTCGAAATCATCTTAACTTTTTTATTTGCTCCTCTCCGTATTATAGTATCACCATTATATTTAACAAAAAAGATTTAAAATTCCATGGTAACAAAACAAGTCAAACAAATTATCCAAAACCTCTATTCATAAAGTACCTTTAATTATTTCATGAAATACCTGAACTTGAAATTGCATGTATTCTAATTTTACTGCACTCATTCTAACGTTCGTATTTCTTCCTTTTTAGCACACTCAAGTATCTTTAGCACACTGAATCAAACAAATTCGATGGAAATTACTGTTATTGATGGTCCAAGTGACAACTATTGTGGTAAGATCATTTTGATACGAATAAATTATGCCTCACATTCATTGTCCTTGTGATTAACACAATTTGATTTTTAGAATTTTTTGTTCACATTTGTTAAATTTGTTATGACTGATTCGTTGAATTATTACGTTAAAACTTATTGTATGCTTCATGTTACGTGAATTTAGAAAAAACCCAGAGAATACTGTCAAATGCCAACTTCCTTGACATATGAAATCTTTGCTTTTCTGATTTGAAGATTGTATTTGTGTAATAACTAAATAATCTTTGTCGGTTCAGGGTGGGTGGTTCAAGATATTACAGGTGACTAAACTTCTTGAGACCCTTTGTAAGACCCTTAATCGATTGAATTATTAGTCACTGAGACATTTAGTTCTAACCACATATACATTGTGTCATAGTCCATAACGTATTGAGAGGCAGTCTATTATCCTGCAAATTAAATGTTTCATTAAGTTCAAGGAACAGGATTCAAACATTAATGAGAAGAGATTTTTGCATTGCCTATATATATATATGTAATCATAGTTTGTGTGGAACATGGCACTCTTTTCAGTCATTGATAATATAATTAAATCAAACTAAGAAGCAGTTACCTATTAGTTTGCAAGCTTTAATAATATAACTGAATTTCCCGATTTATAAGGTGGATAATTAAAACGTAAAGTTGTTATTTCTGAAGATACATTACTAAAAAATATAAATGTAATCAACTATTGATTCTAACAAATTATTAGTTTATTACTTCAGTTTAATATGATCAAGTTTTAGTGTTATTGATTGTTGATAAGTGTCCAAATTATGCGCATTGATGGTGTGAGGAAAACTTAGTAAATGAAGTTACGGACATTTAAAATGCACTTATCTCTTCGGTTACTATGTATCTATGTTTATTATTATCATTTATTTGGGCTTATAAACATTAGTTTAAGGGTGCACCAATAAGAATGCGGTTGTTAAGGGATAGAGAATGAAGGTTGAGTATAATAAAAGAGCGACAATGAACATAAATTGGTTTATAGGAGTGATATAATATTAACAATAATGGAAGAAGCAGTTCAGTTGAGAAAAATGCAACCAGAAAGAATTCTTTCATTTAAAGAAATGACTCGCACTTTTGTGAAGAAAGTTACAGCAGGATCGCCACTTCTATTCTGAGCCATTTATGATAACGTCTCTAACCACTGTCCTGGACTATCTCTAGGACCCCAACCAGGGAGTGGTGAAAGAGCAAAACATCCCAGTCATGTACAGCTTTCTTTCATTCGTAGGACATGCCCAAGCCACCAAAGTCGGTGTTCAAGATGGTGCCCGAACACATGTTTCCGAACCTCCTCATTACTAGCATGGTGTTGTCACTCGATGTCAGCAATCCTTCAGAGACAATGGTGATCAAACACAGAGTCGTCCAACATCAACTCAGAGAGGTTAGGCTTCACAAGCATATAGTAAAACTGCTTTCACCTACGCGTTGTAAATCCGAACTTTTACAGCCAGGCTAACATAACAAAGGCGCCAAACATGACCTAGATTGGCATAAGACACTCTGGCTTTTACTATAGATGAATTGATCTCATTACTCATGTCACCACCAGCACTTACACAACTACCCATATACACGGACTTCTCAACTACTTCTAACTGCTCACTACCAAGAGTGAGTGTAGGCATCGAGTCCTGTTAGTCTTGTCAGAGTACTCTGGACTTGGAAGGTGCAAATCAAATGCCATAACTACGGACACTGATTGGCAACTGACTAAGTGTGGATTGGATAGTTTGGGTATCATCGCGCAGTAAGACAATGTCATCAGGATACTCAAGGTCAGAAAGTTTTTCTCCACGCAACAGATCCTCGCCACCATTACCTACATCTATCAAAGCTGTTTCTAGAACGTCATTGATGGCGAAGTTGAAGAGGAATTGTGAAAATGTGAGACCCGGCTTAACCCCACTACCTGAATGGGACAGTGGATGGGGGTGGTCGTATGTCTTCATTCTGCATGACGTGTTAGCATATAGAGCCTTCAATATGTTAACAGACTTCTCAAACACATTCTTTTTCACTAGACAATCCTAGAAACAATTCTATCTAATGAATCAAAGCAGGACCTGATCTTAAGAAACACAACGATTTTTAGCTTTCAATAAGTATGGAAGTCTTATAACATTTAGAGGAGGGTAAAGATATCATCAAAGCGCCATCAACCAGACAGAGAAAACAAACTTGCCCCTCGCGAGTCAGTCTTCCAGGGTTTTGAACAATCTGCGAAATATGGCAGAGGCTAATAGTTTGGACGCGATCAGAAGTAGACTTATACCCTGATAATTGTTGCAAAATGACGTGAACTCTTTTTAGAGTTAGAGATAACTACTGACTGATTTCACGAGGTTGGAACACTCTCTAATTGCCAGATGTTTGTAACCAACTCAGTCAGCTCCTTAATCAGAAGGTCAGCTCCATTAATAAGAAATCTCGGTGTTAAGTCATCTAGATTTAGTGACTTGTGGCGCTTCAAGAGTTGGGGCTCCTTGCGGACTTCCGTCACGTTAGGTGCATCAGTTGTCATCGGCCATGGAGAGTAGGCAGTCTGATCGATTTCGCCGGGGCAACATGCTAATTGAACTGCTCCTAGAAAAACTCGAAACATCGACCAAGACATCGGTAGACGTTAGTGATTGTCATCCCAATGGCTTCACAGATTGTTTCATTCATACCAGACATCTTGCTGCCAGTGAGTCGGATGAGTTGACAGAGCTTCCGGAAGCGGCTGCTGTTTCTAACTCGTTAGCACGTCGCGACCACCAGGCTTCTCCGTCCTTACGCTAGCTTTACACAATTTCATTACGTCACAACCTTCGTTTATAATCAAACTCGCGGTCACCCGGAGTTTATGTTCATTCTATATAACTCTTGTAGTGTACTATTCTGTAAGGAATATATTAAAATCTCGTAAGGCAGAGAAGGATTCAAGAGGTTGCTGTTACAAATAAATGTTGGTTGAAATCAAGTAAAACATCATACACATTTGGTTGAGTTGCGTTGGTCATATTTTATTCATTATCGGCTAGATACACCGAAACCATCATGAGATATTTCACAGGAAAAAGAACGTATACATTACACTAAGTCACATTTACAGCATTAAATGTAAAAACTAACTGGGTTATTTAACTGCTTGTGGATGAGAAACAATTAGATTGATTTTTAATCATCAACCTGATGATAAACGTGTTAACTACTGACTAAAATTTATGTTAAAATTTTCTGTCGTTATTCCATTACAGACTTTTGTATCTTGGGCACGATATATAGGTAGATTTTGATCTCAAAACACAGACAAATCTATGAATCTCTTTTAATTTAAACTGAGCTTGTTATTCCTATAGTGCTTCTCATTGTAAACCAGAAATTTGGTTTTATTATTACAGGTTAAGTAAGACATTGAATGTTACCTTACATTTGTTGTTATTATAGAATCTCTTAACTACGTGTGTCATCCTGCATGCAAGAAGGAGTATGGATGCTGGGGACCAGGACCAGATCAGTGTGTTCGCTGCTCATATCGTAGAGCGGGATTATATACATGCGTTCAATCATGTAGTAACTTAACAGGATATATGTCTGAACAATGGGAAAAACAACTCCAAATGTCTAACAAGAAGAATGACTATTTTGGCAATTCTCTGACTAAAAATTTTCACCTAAATTACCATACAGCAGAAACTGAATATGTTTGTGTCCCGTGTCATCCAGAGTGCGGCAAATCCTGTACAGGACCTGGTGCTCATGAGTGTATTGGATCATGTAAAACAGCTTGGGTAAGTTTAACACAACAGTTACCTATACCGAAAATTTCTCCATCTTCTTTTGATCATCACACTGTAAATATATTAAGATTACAATACAAAATTCTATTTTTGTTGTTTCTTGGCTGCTTAACTGTGGGGAGAGACTTTTTTTGTTAACTGAAATGTGGACTGGAGATAGTTCTGGATAACCATACAGGAGCCTATCAGTTTATTCACTTAATTGAAATAAGTGGAGTCAACAAATGATATAAATGAGATTACTTAATATACTTCGTTTGGTTTTTATTTTTGCAATACTGAACTTTTTTAACATGGCGTATGATAGTCATTTCCTTTACACTTTCATCATTATCAAAATTAGGATTGATTTAAGACAGACTTAGCCCGGAATTCGTTTTAAGCACTGACAGTACTATCTTTTTAAACTTTTATTTTCCAATAAAAACATCTTCAGTCAGAAGGTCAGTGTGTTTCAGAATGTCATTCAAACACTTATCTAAATATAGACAGAAGAATTTGTGAGCCATGTCAGACACATTGTCATCAACGTCAGTTAACAAAACAGCCGGTATGCACTGGTCCTGGTCGTCATCCAGGAAAAGGAGGGTGTAATAAATGCGAGAAATTTGTTGTACAGTCACATTTCAATCAGATGAATACGGAAATATCAGGTTAGTTTAATTTATACTAGATAGTTTTTTTACCTAATATTTCTGAACAATATGCATCAGAATTAATGATATTTTGTCCGTTAACTGAACATTCATCCCAATAGCTTTTAGAGCGTTTGGGCCTATGTCATGAACCAATACTAGTTGATAACCATTTGAAAGAATAACATGTGATACCAAATCTTAGTTATATTTCTCCTAATCCACTGATTTAACTTAAGACTGTTTCAAGCACTATCTGAAGCAGCATCTGAAGATAAGATTTATTAAATTCGAACCGTAATCATACCATAGATTATGCTTTTCTGTTCACAGCAATGAGAATTTAATATGCTAATTGCTAAACCACTCGAAAAGATTAGTACTTTTGTGGTGTGTGCTATTGATGTTGATAGATATAAGTAGTATGTATCATCAATCGAAAGTGAAGTACCTGGCAGCAAAAGATTAAGAAAACCGATGAAAAGAGGACAAGAACATTGAAAGATGGCTGTTAAAAATCAAGAAACAGTAAAGTTTGAGATGATTTATTGACATTTTGCAAATTAAGTATTTACTGTATGGTTTTCAGATTTTACTAAGATGTTCTGTAATTCGATTGTCCCCCCTTATGTTCCCATTCACTACACTTTGATTATTTCAATAAATAATTTTCCAGTTGCTACAACTTCAGAAAAATGATAACCACATGCAACAAACTTTATTCAAAATTATGGTTGGCTATACAAATTATGAATTGTTTGCTCTACTGAAACGTTTGTTACCTTATTAAATAATTTAAAACAAATATATTTTGGAGTTATTTTAAAAATCCTCAGCATTTTTTCCAGATTTTATTTTTTTTTAACATAGATTTATCATCCCCGCTTACAACAATTAGCTTGCTATGCATCAGAGGAGATTGTCCACCGGGAACTTATTTAACAACTGAAGTGGTTCAACCGGACACTTTGTTTGCGAAGTACGCTGAAATATTCACAAGTGTTGCTGCAGTATGTCGATCATGTCATCCAAGGTGCCCAATGTGTACAGCATACAGCCTCCTAAGAGCTAATGAGCAACGTTTAGGATGCATGAAGTGTAGTGGATTTTGGCTGAGAGATGCTTGCGTAGAACACTGTCCTGTAGGTAAGTACTGCAAATGTCTCCCTCATATTTTATAATACTACAGTGGTTGAGATAGTGGAGAACATTTGTAGTTCGGGTGGATGATTTTGGTGGAGTTTTGTTTTCTAAGCTTGATGGTTTAGTCATGTAGCTTTCATTGCTCATATCCCGATCGAAGCTGCTACCTTGACGCGGTGGTCGGGCTTGCCTATCGTGATGACCCAACCGAGCTATATTGGCTGGAACATATGTTCCTGTAGGTTCTACCATGCCAGGCAGGTCGATTGGTGAACGGTAAGACTAAAAGCAGCAACTCAAGGTCTGAAAGCGAAGTCGTACTGCTGACTGTAGAGGGGTGTGACAGCAGTAAGGTGTTTCCTTCGGACAACCAGCATGACAGCGATGCTGCCTTCCCACAAGGAGGGGTGGGGTTAGAAAAGGTCGACCCTAAAAATGTCACACCTCACCTTACCTCACGGATTTTCGTCTCCGGCGGTAAGGCCCTTTAAAGAACGGAGCTAACACGTCAAGAACCTTCCACGAAAGGCCGTGCGCGACCGGCCTCAAGCAGTTGTCCCTTGGGCTTTGCGGTCACGCTCCCAGGTCGTCAAGACCAACACTAATCCAATTCCCTTTTCAGGTTCCTCAAGAAATACCCTTCCACGGTGTGGGCAGCCGGGAAGTGACATCAGCCCTCATACCCGTAACAGCACAAGAGACCAAGGTGGTCACATTCAAATCCTTCCTACACCTCCTAATACCTCTCTTATCTCTATGACTAACCCTCCTCACGTCTCTGCAAGGAAACCTCTTAGGGGCCTACTTAATGATAGTCAAGCTAAGAGTATATTTCAGGAACAACTAGGAAAACAGTTAGGCAGCCATGTATGTGATGCCCACCCCGATGCAGCATGGAATGATATCCGAAAAGCTGTGGAAACAGCAGTGATATCTGCTAGTAAGGTAAACCAGAAGGTTAGGGAGCAACACTGGATCTCAGCAGCATCTATCGCACTGATAGATGCTCGGAAACTCATTCCACCTGGCTCTGAACATAATGAAGAGCGGAGTCAGCTTAAGCGCAAGCTGACAAGAAGTCTACGCAATGATCGCGAACAGTGGTGGGTAGCGAAAGCAAGAGAGATGGAAAAGGCAGCGGCAATAGGTAATAGCAGACAATTGTTCAGACTCGTTAAGGAAACCGGAATTAGGAACCCGACCGTTAGCGAAACAATCTCAGAGAAAGATGGACATATTATTCATTCTCAATCCAGGAGATTGGATCGATGGGCAGAACACTTTAGGGATCAGTTCAACTGGCCTTCAGCCACACTTCGGTTTCCCACGATCTCTAGTCAACCTGAATGGCAAGTTAATGTAGGTCCTCCGTCCCTTTACGAAGTTGAAAAAGCCATAGGAAATCTGAAACGAGGGAGAGCAGCAGGCCCTGACAGGTTTACTCCTGAGATTTTTAAGGATGGTGGTCCAGTATTAGCAATGAGATTAACGAGGTCTTAGGTAGAATTTGGGAACTGGACGTAATCCCATCTGACTGGTCTCAATCACTGATTGTGCCAGTCTATAAGAAAGGACAAAAGTCCTCTTGTGACAATCACAGAGGAATCAGTTTGACTAATATAGTGTCTAAAATATTAGCTTCAATAATACTTCGACGCCTAATCAAAGCTCGTGAAGAGCAGATTAGAGAAAACCAGGCTGGTTTTCGACCTGGACGTGGTTGTATAGATCAGATATTCACACTACGTCAGGTTCTAGAACACAGACACACATTCAGACGCCCCACAATGGTAGTATTTCTCGACCTTAAGGCGGCATTCGACTCTGTTGATCGTGAGGTTCTATGGCAGTGTTTGTCACTGAAAGGAGTACCAAAGAAGTACATTAACCTTATAAAGGCTCTCTACTCGAACACAACTGGTAGAGTGAGAGCTTATGGCGAACTGTCATCAGAATTGATTACCTCAAGTGGTGTTCGTCAGGGCTGTCCACTCTCCCCATTCTTGTTCAACTTTGTGGTCGACGTACTTTTAGAGATAACACTCTCCTCATCTAAATTTCCAGGGGTTGAACTTCTACCGGGAGGTTCACTTGTTGACTTAGAATATGCTGATGACATAGTTTTATTTGGTGAAGACGCTGACAAAATGCAGAGTCTTCTGACCACTCTAAGCAACAATGCAAGCATGTTCGGGATGCGATTCTCCCCCTCGAAATGCAAAATGTTGCTTCAGGATTGGGTTACATCGACACCCGAACTAGTGATAGGGAGTGAAGTAGTTGAGTGTGTCGACCGCTTCACTTATCTTGGAAGTCTCATCAGCCCTTGTGGTTTGGTGTGTGACGAAATCTCAGCACGGATACAGAAGGCTCGACTAGCTTTTGCCAACTTGCGTCATTTATGGCGTAGGCGAGATATCCGTCTATCAACCAAAGGACGTGTTTACTGCGCAGCAGTTCGTTCCGTCCTACTTTATGGCAGTGAAACATGGCCGGTAAGAGTAGAGGATATCCGTAGGTTACTAGTATTTGATCATAGGTGTCTTCGAAACATTGCTCGTATATCATGGGACCATCGAGTAAGTAACACAGTTGTTAGGAAACGGGTACTAGGTAAGGATGGCAAATCAATTGATGAAGTAGTGAAACTTCATCAGTTGAGATGGCTGGGACACGTGTTACGTATGCCCAACGACCGACTGCCTCGACGTGCTATGTTCAGTGGTATAGGAGTAGGTTGGAAGAAAGCTAGGGGCGGCCAAACCAAAACATGGCACAAGTCCATGAAGTCACTGACAAGTGGACTGAGTCATGTTGGTAGGTGTAGACTACCTGGTTGGGGACCGCGAGATGATAGCAACCGATGGTTAGAGACCCTGAATGACATGGCTCAAAATCGTTTGCAATGGCGCAGGTGCATCCACTCTCTGTGTTCTCCCAAATTCTAATCTTCTGAATCCTTCATGTCCTTTTTTTCCTCTTTCCAAATTTATTTCACTGGATTATACTCTTTAAATAACATCTCCAAACCCTAATCTTCCCGATTACTGCTTATACTCTTATTACCTCTACCACTACGGGATTTGAATCGACAACTGCATCTCTGTGCTAATGTGGTGTGGCAACTCGAACTGATGTACGTACGTACGAAGTTCTACGTTGTTACTGACTGACTGACTGACTGACTGACTTGCTCATATGAACAATATCATCAGCACAAACTTCAAGTAGAAATAGACTTCACCTTATCTTAATGATATTGGAGTGGAGTTGTTCAGAAGAATAATGAAAGCTCTAAGAATAGACCATACAGCTCAGAGAACGGAACTCTACTAAAAACGACAACGGATGAGTCGTCATTCCGAAAAATCTTTAGGGATTGCGTTCTTATTCTTATTAAAACCTTTTGAAACGATGAAAGCGTCTTTAATTTTACAATAAAAATTGTGTATTTTTAAAATCTTGAATAGATTTTGCCTGACTCCCAAAGGAGATATTCCAAGTAGGTTGCATGCTAACGCTATTTTTGTGTTCCTGTGGCTCACTTGGTTTGTAGATTTTTATAAGCAGCGGGATTATTAGAATGTTTTATGTAGCCTCCTTATTCAACGAAATAAATTTGTATTAAATTTTCTAATTTTCACTGGAGAGGTTTTTACAAACGTGATTGCCTTTTTAATATCATCTATAACTCTGAGCTCAACTGTTGTGAAATTGTTTGTTTAAATGTGGACAAAATTCTGATAAAATACGTATTACTGTGGTTTATAGTCAATTCAAGAAAATAGTTTTAAGCTTTGAAGTAATCGTATCTTAACTTTGAAGTTTATTAATAATTTTGTCCTCTTACTCATAAAGAACAAACCTACGCAATATGGATTAAGACTAATCATAATGTATCCAGAAATTCTTCAGAAAAGCACTTAAATTTAAAAGACGTCAATTTGAAATACAATGGTATTTATGTGCGACATTTAAATGGACAGTGTTTAGCCTGTCATGAGCAATGTCATGCTGGATGTTGGGGTCCTGGACCAGATCAGTGCAACCATTGTCTTAATGTCAAAGTACCTATCCGATTTATATCTAATAATCTTACTAAATTTTACGGACTGGATCAATTTTCAGGAGATGATCTATCAGTAAGTCTAACTTCATAAGTAAGGTTTTTTAGTTTAATATTGTCTAAAACGTTTAACTTGACTGAATGTTTTGTGTGTAACTCTGAATGACTGAGTTGTGGTGCTATAAGGCTTCTTATTTATTGATATTTGAACCAGTAATCGACTTCTTGAAATCAGATAAATTATGAACTGCGAAGATGCCTTTATCTTAGCAAAATAAGGATAAAAAAATAATTGTAAATTCCTCGTATTATGTGAGCTAATTCTTCGAAGAACAAAATAACCAATACTGTACGCCCATATATTATATTATATCTAGAAAAACATGTTATTGTTACTGACCAAATATAAGAGCAGTAACTAGGAACAGTTGTTTTTAAAAGGCTTTCAAAATCGATATAATACTAAAGTATGATAATGAATTTCAGTATCGTGATATTTCCATATTTATCTGTTGTCATTTCATAAGCTTTTAGTTTATGAGTGATTTATTGTTTAAGAGTTTAGCAATTTGTAGAATCATTTTAAAATAGTTTGGATTTAACTAATATGAACTCTCAGTGGAAAACCGTACCAGCAGACAAAAACTAAAGACTGCTTTTCTGGTTTTCTTTCTGAAAATTACTTCATATAACTTAAAAAAATCACCCTTGCTTTATCGAGCTAGGTTTATTTGACAGATTTTGAATAATATCTTTATTTCTTAAAGATTTCAACTCCACTAACCTTGTATGACCCCTCGAATAACACCGTTCTCACATTAAATTCATTCTTGGGATCAAAATGAATAAAAAATTGATTTTAGGTTTTCTAGGTAAGAAGAATGTTTGAGTGAGGTCCTGAGTTTAAACTTTATTCACAAAATCGTAAATTCATAATTTAGATTTCACTCAATGTTTGCATTTTTTAAAGAAGTTTCTATTATCCTATCGGCTGAACTTGCTACCAATATATAACAAAATGAGAAAATAATATTGCAATACTTAATTTGCTCTTTAGTACCTAAAGGTTAAAAATCATTCTCACAATCACGTTTTGTAGGTATCATCTTCAATTACAAGCAAACATAAAAGGTGCCTAGCAGTGAAATCCAGGACGCGCGTCTTGTCTTACTTGAGACTCGACAGCTGGACTTACTTGCATCCCGAATTTGTCGTCCATTCCAGGACTCGACCTTAGTACCGCTTGCATCAAACTCCATCACGTTGTCCACTTAGCTACTGAGTCCTGATTGCCACAAACTTGTGTAATGTGATAAAATTTCGATTCATCGTTGTATTGGGTGTTTGAATCTTCTCATTGATTGTTAGGACTGTAATTGTACAGTCTCTTATTGGCATATGTGCATCTTATGCGGACTGCCTCGATAGTGCCTTACGTCACAAGCATTATAAGCAATGATAGATAGTGGCTATAAGCGGAATACAGGACGCGCGTCTCGTTCTATTCGGGATTCGTCAGCTAGATGCACCAATATCGAGGCAATCCGTACAGGATGCACATATGACATTAAGAGACTGATCAGTTGTAGTCCTAAACATCAATGAAAAGATCCAAACACAATACAAAAATGAACTATTATCTTAATTTGTTGAATTTACTTGTCATTTTTGGATTTATGTTAGACTTAGAAAAAGACGTGATGCGTTTTGACCAATAAAATGAACTGTTCCATATTATCAGGTTGCAAAAGATAATGTTTTTGTTTTATAAATATGATTCTATATAAGTTTTAATGAGGATCTTTCTCATTTAGTGAGTTGGAATTACGTGTACAGTAGGGGTAATTACTTTGATAATCATGATATTAGGATAAGGTTTCATTCTTTGAGCTGGAAGTTTGATTGGGAATCTGTCATCGTCCATCAGGACAAGATTATCGACACAAACTTCAGTTGGAAGTGTGCTATTCGGATAATGTTGTTCAAAAGGACGGAAGCTTCACTATTAAACTATCCAGCTCTGATAATGAAACTCCCACAAAATCATCCATCTGAATTACTCGATAATTTATTGATTAATTAATAGACAAGGTACTTATCAGGTTTATTGTATTTTTTGCCTACTTGAAAGTCATTATCAGCAAAATGGTTGAGCTTTATTCTCCTGGCTCAACTAGGTTGAATCGCTATTAGTTCACGAAGAAATAAGATGAACTCAGTGGACGTACGTCGTATAGCATGATATATGCATCCCACTATTAATTATTTGATACTATTTGTTACATATTACGGCTGGCCAAAACAGCTGATTAAAATTCGTTGTTAGCGAAGTGAAAATGTATCAACAGTTATTTAGTTAGTATGTTGCTAGCAATTACTGTTTTTTATAATAACTGCTGCATCCCATGTTCGATCATTGATATTCAGGGTAACATCTCATTTTAATCACAAGTGTCCAAGTTGTTGAGTGATTTTAACCTTCGGTTACAAACCTCATCGATGATCAACCAACCAAGACTACTAGGACTTGCAGGTACGTTCAGCGTTGCCACGATTCCCACAATAAACTTGTTTGTAACTACGTAGATAGTACGGTATTCTACAGCACAGTATTCTACATTTTTGTGCATTTATTTTTATTAACTAAAAGCCACAAAATCTATTCTATGGCTAACTAGTTATAATATGTTACAAAATGAATGCATTCATTCTTCATTGTCGAAGTTTCAGAATCTAGAATGCTTTGTAACAACACAAAAACCGAAATAACGAGAAAGTAAGACGATATTAATGAGAAACAAATGCAGGCTAAAAGTGCACATAAAATGAATTGTTGTGGGGTAACGAGTCATTCACTCCATACCTCTAGCCATTGACTTCTATCGTTTCAGTGATTTTGTACAAATAACCTACACTTCCGTATACTACTCAGCCCGGAGGACAGAACGTACTCTCATAAACTTCTGGCTTGCACTTTTCAGACTATAATGTATCTTTGGCTAATCTAAAACGAATCCAGTTTTTCTGTTTTTCACCGATTGGAAAATACACATTTCTAATGATAGTGAAGTGAACCCATTTGGTTTTGTACACTAGAATCTAAGTTAACTTATGTGTACAGTTAGTTATTTGTAGCCCAGTCCTTATGTATTTCAGTCAGTGCAGACTCATAATTTTATTGAGTTTCGCCTATTTTCTGCTAATTTTTAGAGTTTGATATGTCCAATAGTTGGAATATTTTTACATTATACTACTAAATAATTTTTGATGCATGTATCATCAAAGAAATTTGCGTATTCCAACCACAAAATCGCTAATTTAATGGGGTGAATTCATATGTTACGGCTTAATATTATTTGCTAAAAGCCATTAGAAGTAATCAGCTTGGTTGACTGATATGAAATGATAGGAAGAAGGAGAACATATCCTTCATTTTAAATTTCCATCTTGAATTTTAGCCGAGAATCAGTTTGTTAATCATTTCTGTTTTCATGACTATTGCCTCTTAATGTTTATCAAAGAAGTGCAAATGACTGAAACGTTAATTAACAGTTCCTTTTACCACATGTAAGGTATTGGATGGAAAATTTTGCGAATGAGTAGAATTTTTATTGAAATCTCATCAGATTTTGTAGAATATCAGATATTTAATGTACTTTCATTGAAGTCACCATCAATAACCATCAATGCACAACTGTTCGGGGTTCTATGTTCATAATGTCTGTCAGTCTATTGATAGATAAGATTTTCCTCTTTATCTAAACATATATTTCCTTTCTAGATTGAATTGAACAGTCTAAATTTACATCTATACCATGGGAGATTTATTTGCTTACCACAATGTCCAAATGATTTATACAATCATATAATTAATATACCTGAAATGGAAGGTGAAACAATATGTCATCATAGTACATATTTAAGTACTAGTGATTATGAACTGATAATGCAGGACAATGTGTATCCATTTCAATACTTTAATAATTATCCATTTCAAATAACAATCAACAATTGGAGCAAGGAACGTCTGCAGGAATTATCGGACTAAGAAAGTCTTCATCTTACTTTTCATCGATTCACGGTAGTATTATGCATCGTAAACTAAAAAATGATCCAGTAATATTAATTATGATACCACTATGTATTATATTAATCGTATTTGCTGTACTAGTTTTTATATGCTATCGTTATCGTTCAAATCAACAATACATCAAAAAATATGAACACAGTCCACTGTTATTGTTGAAATTATTGTTTTGCCCAATATCATTTATTTCTAAGCGTTTTGTTTCCGATATAAGCAATTATAAGTATAAAAAAGGTAATCCTGTCATAAATTTATCTCTTACGAATTGTCATTACAAGAATAGAAATGATGAAAGTGGTACTGAAACTAATTTAATGCAATATCCAGGCACAGAGGAAAGTTTATTAGGAACAGCTTCCCATCGATATCCAAATCAGGTACGTTGTTTACCGATTTTATTCATTGAATTATTTTATTCCAATATGAAAGCATTTCTTTGTGTTAGGAAATATGAACCAGTCCATCGTAAACTAGTGAGTGAATGGGATCATGCCCACTGCGAAATATGACAAACCTGGTTCTTTTTTCGATAGGCCATCACTTTACCACCGAGTTAATCCATGATTGTATGAAACAGCAGTCGAGTAATCACTAGTTGGTTTTGATGTAATGAAAACTATTCACATTAAGAATCACCCTTAGTTTAGTTTCTATCTATCCAGAATGGATATACCATACACTTAAAATATTTTTTCAAGACGATATTGTCTTTGGATAGAGCTACACAACTCAAAGGTGGCCTTTGACATAAAGTGAAAACAAATGATCACAATCAGCTACTTTTAGTAACATTTCAATGGTTTATGAACCTGATCTTCAAACCTTTGTAACTTGCTCAATTTTAAACGGTTGGACAGTAACGCTATCTTTCAAACAATAACTGTGATTTAAAGTCAAGCTCAAAACATCCACTAAGTTGTTAAATAACGGTCTACCATTCCATAATAATTCATTACTGTTACGCAGGTGGTACGCGCAGACTGACAAAAGTAAAATAGTATTTGATCACTTCTAAGTTTCCTTACTAAGGTTCAACTTGATAACCAAAAAAACGGAATAACGGACGGGTTGTTTATAATAATAAACCAATAGTATGTCTTCAATATCCTAACAAGTAGAAAATTGAATTTATAATGTTTTCTGATTCAGTGTTATTTGGTTCTTCAGTGAACAAATAATCGGGCTGAAATAACTTATTGTACATGCTTTTTATTGTGAACTGTATTATTGTTATAAAAAATACCAACAACCAGTTTTTACTGGTCTAAGAAATGAAGATAATCCCACTGAACTAAATTGAGCACACTTTATTATTTCGTGATTGATCATTTCTTCCATATGAATTAGATTGTGAACGGACAGAAAGCACCGAATCTAGGTAGATTAGTCATGATCAACCTGGATGACTTATGCCTAAATGAAAAATCTGGTCCCTTGGGAACAGGTGCATTCGGAGCAGTCTACCAAGGTATTTGGAAAGTATGCCAAACTGATTATCCAAATTTACCAAATATAAATTATGTGATTACAGCGAATAATGAAGAGGAGTTAATGCTTAAAGTTAATTCACAAAGCTCCCGCTCTTTGTTGACAACTCCAACTCCAATGAATGAAATGAACGTGGTGTCTACAAATCAAATAGATTCCAGTAATATTCAAGCAAATGAAGTGCACACGTCAGCTACAGAGCAATCATCAGTTATAAACCAGAAGAACAATAATACTGACGAAGATACCAGTCAAACTAGTCATAGCGTTACTACAACATCTAAAGCATCGACAGAGAAATCTAAAAAGGAATACAAACTACTATGTGTTGCTGTGAAAATTTTGAATGAAGTTCGCGGGTCAAGTGATCTACAAGCACTACTGGACGAAGCAAAAGTAAGTCTGAGGTGTTCATATCCTGGGAACTCACGGATCTCTCTCTTTTTTGTCAGTTTAACATAACTTTTTATCGACAAGGTGATAAGTTTAAGAGCTCTTCTGTGTACTGAATTTTTCTGTCGGAACACGAAGACAATGCTCCTATGTAGATACAAATAAGTGTGCAACATAATATAGACATACTTAAGTCAGTCTATAATAAAATTCTGAAGCTTGGTCAGTTTTGCTTTATTTGTTGATGCAAGAGCCTTATTTAATTTAAGTCTTCACTTTGCTAATACAATAAGTCAAATGTATCTGTTTTGAACTTTATTGTCATTCAGGTTATAGCTATCTTTCTAACACATTCTTTGACAATAATGAATGAATAGCCATCATTTTTCACAATTATCTACCTCAGTTTGTAATGACGACGAAACGTTGTAGATCAGAACATGTTTCCTTTACCATATTGTTTAATCGAAATAGTTTTTGATTTAAGTTCAACTATTATCAATGTTCTTTAAATTTCAATTATCTGAAGGAATTGGTTGTTGCATTTATCTCACATGTTAAAAATATAACAAGTGAGATCATCAGCAAAATATTTTTGTGTAGGAGATACATGTAAGAAACACTAGTCACATATGATAAGGAGTTTCATATGGTTCAGTTATTAAATAAAGTCGATAACATACAGAATGATATCGTACTCACTTATGAGGAGGAATAATAATAACCGATCCCTATTCTTAGGTAGAGTTTTGACCCGAAAGGAGTATAGAACTATAAAACGATCAGTTCATAGGAAGGCAACCTGGACTGGAAAAAATCTAGACTGGCACAGCTTCTGTGCGCTATATTGCGAGCAAGGATCGGTAAATTGCGTCCGCAACTAAACGTCAATGCTCTACTCCAAACAATTTACTTTGGGCAGCTGAGTAGTTCTGTTAGTCCTCATATATAATAATTGGCTACTAGACAAGTACAGAAACCTATTATTGGTAGATGAGCAACTCAAAATAAATATATTACGTCGATTCGACAATAACTAGACGGATTATCAACTATATACAATGTCAATTAAATGCTATATATATGAGCAACTAAATGAGCCTTGATATCGTAACGCAGAACACCCTGAGTCACCAAACTATTTACCAGTGCCAAATTTTAACATTTTTATGTAACGTCAAGAATCCCGTATAACACGAAACACTAATTATTTATGTTGAACACCACCACTCAAAGGTAACCAGCATATGAAAAATTTATTTGCTTGGATATTGATAGAACCTTTAACTACGTCCACTACAGTTTCCACTAATTATTTGGCTACTTAGTCTTAAGTTAAATACATTTGATACACAAAAGTTCTGTGTAAAATAACATGTTTTCAACAACTAAGCAAAATTGTCAACCACAACTTAAACATATATGGCAAGCTGTTTTAGACCACACCCTCTGTGTGTAATTTTTCTCCAAAAGATAAAAAATAAACCATTAATAAATATTCACTTCTGTATTTCAGGTTATGGCGTCTGTCTCTCATTATCACTGCCTCCCACTTCTTGGAATATGTTTATCTCAATCAAGAAAATGCTTAGTTTCAGCTTACGTAGTAAATGGAAGTCTAGATCGTTATCTAAGACTGCGTGCCCCAAATATTGACTCCTCAACTCTTTTAGATTGGGCATCTCAGATTGCCGATGGAATGGCATACTTACAATCTCGGGGAATTATCCATCGGTGAGTAATTTTTTAATTGTAACACGCCACTTGTCGGGTAGTTTCATTTTACGGCTGTTTGTCGTAAAATAATCATTTGAGGTTTCTTGCTAGTTTGTGAAAACAAATTTCAACGTTCATGCAGTATCGAACTCATCGTTTGAGATGACTTAAAAAATCACACATTGTGTAAAATTGCTTTCACATGGCCCTAGTTCCCTTCAGTTAACATTCTTTTCAATCCGTTAAACATCCACTCGTTTTATCCTATACTATAAATACCTCTAATTAATTCATATTCTCATAAAGATCTTGTAAAGTAATAAAAAAATCTTTAATGGTGTAGTTTCGTCCTTAGTCTTTGGTTCTGATAATTCCTAGCCTGTCAAGCGGTTCATTTATATAAGTATTTATTTTGAACTTCATTACCAAATGAACTCCACGATTTCCCTTAAAATACTAACATAAGTAAATTAACGAATAATTCTAACCTGCAAGTTGGAGTTCAAATTGGTATTAAATAAGGATCAAAATAGAAAATTACTACATCCACACATGATCCCTCATAAATTTGAAGGTATATTCAATAAGTTGTCAAATATATAACTTCAATCACATCTAATATCAACTAAGTAACCTCGTAATATAATTTTGTAAATTTCAGTGATTTGGCTACTCGAAATGTCCTAGTTACATCACCAGAACACCTACAAATTACAGATTTTGGTTTAGCAAAAATGCTGGAAAGTGAAGAAGAAGCTAAACGTAACGAAGTAATAGTTGTTCGGGACGCGTTCCTATCCGTTGGTTAGCCTGTGAAACACTGACTCATCGTATTTACTCATTCAAAACTGATGTTTGGGCGTACGGTAAGTAAACATCCAGATCAAATTCATCAAATTCTGTGAGATAGATTCCAATAAAAAAATACGTGATATTTTTAGCAATAAACAACAAACAATATGAAAACCTAGGCATGTAAATAAACAAATCGTGCTCCACACTGAAAAAGTCATTCAGATTTTCTTGACATTTCTATTTAATTTTAAATCATTATACTCATTATGAAGATTATTAAGCTACTATACCATTCATCTACTAGCTGATATACATGCTCTGTATGAATAAATACTTAATTAGGACGAACTAATTAGACGAAAATGATCTCAATACTTCTATGGCTTATCAAAATTTCTACACTACGAAACCATATGAAGACGAAGATTAATGAAAGACATATGTTCATTTGTTTTTACGTATAAAACTGGTTAGTTCATTCTTGAAAATGTCCCTAACGGGAAATAATGACCAACACATAAGGTGCAAAATATTCTCTTCGTTGCTTGTTAGATTAGTACGTAATATTCTGGAGTATAAAGTGAACGATAGTTATAATCAAATTCCAAATAAATCACATACTAAAATACGAGGGTAACTGAATGATGAGCTCCAAATAATACAAAATATTCATCTTAAAATTCCCTAGTAGCCATTACTAAATAAAATGATTCAATTCAAATAGGTTGTTACCAAATGTATTGGAAATATTTTTATTACTGTATTTGAAATAGAGTTTATTTTCATAGGAAGTTTTATTTTGTTTTATTGCAGCGTAAAAATATACATAAATATTTTTGAAAAAAATATTTATCGACTAGTGTAATTTGACTGAAACCGACCATAAGAACGGAAATAAGTTAGACCTTTATGTTGAAATGATGAGTCTTTGATAATTTTAAACTAAGGATAACAACTAGGCATTCTAAACTAAAGATTTTGATTCTTATTAACTTTGTAAATGTGAAAATTTGGAGATTACAAACGTGAATTTGTAACAATTTCTAACATTTACTTCGCATTTTTTAGGTGTCACTATTTGGGAGATTTTCACATTTGGGGATAAACCATTTGATCGTATAGAAACGGCCAACGTAAAAGATCATGTTTTAGCAGGTAGACGTCTTCCACAACCAGATATATGCACACTCGAACTATATCAAGTTATGTTAAATTGTAAGTTCACTTAAAATGTCATTACACAAAGCTCATTATTTCAAACTAAATTTCTAAGGCTCACTACAGTCAAGTAATGTTAACCAAGAAATAATTCCGTTAAAATAAGTAAGAAGGCCAGTCATAAAAATCATTGAAATTATCCAAAAATAGTTGTCTTACTTGGAATTAGATAATCCAAGTTTTACTTATTGAGAGTAAATAATCAGAATTATACAGTTCAGTATCTTACAGCTAAAAATACACTCCGTAAATAATCTCAATTTTTGCTCTAATCGACTGGCTACATAAAAAATTTAAAATTAACAATTGTTATGCATAGTTAATAAATTTCTTTTAGACTAATTGGGTAGCACTGTAACGACTAAAACACATAAAAACTTACTTTCAGTATAGATAGAAAGATAATCATATAATTTCAGAATTGTTTTTTATTCTATACTAAAGTAATTACATTACAAGCTATGCATCTGTGTTATACTGGACAGACCATAGTTATTGGTTCACTCGATACTCAAAGTTTAAAATAAATTTTCTGTTCTAAAACTCCACTTAATCATTCTGAGTATCTTGAGATTTCCTTATATTGAAAACGGTAAACATGGATAGGTCGCCAATACACGAATATTGAAGGTTATTTACCGCAAAGCAGAAACAATCAATTTTTATAGATGTTGTAATATCGGAAAGCTTTATACTCTTCCATTTATATTCTATAATGTAGTCCTTGTGTATTTCATCATTTCATCATATTTATTCATTCTGTGTACAATTACTAATTGCGGCAGAAATTGTTAATGTAATTTTTCGAGACCAAAGGTAGGCTAATATTTCGTTTCTAAGCAAATAAATGCAGTTCATCTTATTTAGGTGTTCGCTAAATAGATTTCCATGAATATTTAAGATAAACAAACTCCCCAGGAGTTTACCGATAGACAAAAGAACATTAAAGTGGAAAGTAATATTCACTTTTTTCATTTCATGAAGTAATTTAATAATAGTTTCTAAACTTTGTCTTCTGATAGGTTGGAATGAAAATCCTGATGCTCGACCAAATTTCGTAGAGCTGTATAACATGTTTAAGGATTTCGCACGTCAACCACATCTTTATCTTCATTCCAGAGTAAGATTCTATATTTTCTGATGAATTGTATTTTTACACTTAGTAACAACCTTTTAGAGCCTTTCTAAAAAGCATTTCATTACTCCTTTGAAAACATCACCAACGTGGTTTTACTAATATGATTCAATGACTCTACGTTGATAATTTTATATAATAAATAAATGTATCTAAGGGAAAACGGCACTTTATCCTTACTTTTGTTTCTTCATGTGCTCCTACAAACTGATAGGCATGTGTTAAATTGTAGCTAAAAAGAAATGCGGGTTTATGCATCCTATTTTCAATATCCAATAACTATGCCCTGTTCGTCTTTTCCAGTCGTTTTTCTGTTCATTTAGTGGGTGAGTGGTTATATAAGTTTGCAATTTTCACTGGATATTTCATTTAAAGATTTAACAATCACCATATTTGTGCTTGTTATTGAATATGTTGGGATGCGATGACGTTTTCATAGCAGACAGATGGGGATAACTTTAGATGCTTAAAATAAAATCTTCATTCGGAATTATACTCATTTGCGGCACCTGCCTACCAAATGAATGAGCAATATATATATATATATATATATATATATATATTATATATATATATATATATATATATATATATATAAACCGAACTACTACGTTTCATAGATTAATTACTATGATCATGAAAACAGAAGAGATTGGACTTCTTTGTATTAATCATAGAGCTGAAATCTATATTTTTTCTTGTCAATGCTTTAGTGAAGTGTAAATGGTTTATCCTATATTATTACAAACAACTCTGTCAAACACAAACATGTACTAAAGTAGTTCGAATGTCTCTTGTTAGTGAGATAATTAACAGCTGAACTTGTACGTGAGCTCATCTAGCTATAGACAACATATTGAGCTTCGTGTGCTAATTTATTCTAGTCTATAACCACACACTGACTGATAAGTTGCCTGCCAATGTGGCTTAAGATGTAAAGGCTTTTTCATGCGTTAGCTTCCTTGACAAACTATCAAGAAGGTGATTAGTTAATGCAGTGTAGCTTCTTAAGCTTGCTACAATCCACTGACTGGGTGAGCTTTGACTTTATAAATACTGTAAATGTGGAGTTTGTTCAGTATTCCTTTAGTTAAACACATTTTATTTCATTTGTATTCTGTATGGCTTAGTTTTAGAGGACATTTAAGCAAATAAAGACTTTTCAAATTCTTGCACAGTGAAAAGTTTCAAAATGATTGTTCAATGAATATGATCTCTCGCGTTACAATGAGACAAATAGTTTTATACCATAAAGTGGATTAAGTCATTGCATATCTATCTGTATCCAAACCTTAAGGCTTGATATTTGAGTAAAAAGACTTCAATACTTCTTTCCCCGAATAAAAAGTATTTTGCTTTAGAAAATAAACATTTTTTCGATATTTAATAAGTTTAAACTAGTAATATTGTGTTACGTTCATGGTTAAACAAGTTAACGCTCAGATCGCAGTTTCTGATATTCATAAATAATAAAACATATAGGATTTTATAGATCATGAGGTGTATATACATTCATAAAGAAAAAAAGTTAAAGAATAATCACATTTCCATTTTAATTAATTGACTTGTTAAAAATTATTTATAAGTTAATTGTTTATTTGACAAAATCGTTGGTATCCAAATTTTCTTCACTTGATACTTTAGAATGAAAGTAGTTCAAATACGGAAGTGTACAGTAGCACTGGTGACACAAGAAGTCGTGCAACAATTTATCCAACTACTCGGTTATCTGGTGAACGTTTTCGACAACCAGAACAAACTGTTCCTTCATTTCAGTCAATGAAATGTAGGAGTTCTTGTTCGCCTCTACAAAATTCAAGTTCTAGTAGTGGATTAACAAATCGGCGCTTTGATGTTGGTAGACGTACACGTACCAGTTTATTACTACCTCCAACAGTCCTACAAGCTAATCGTACTGGGAAATATCCGCGACATAAACGACGTAGTGTTGGAGCTCGCACTGACTACACAATGTCAGCATCCATAAGTATAAACTCTGGGATTGGTGAGCGTTGGGGTAATTCATCGTTTGCTACGCACAGTCACCCAACATTAATTAAAGTTGATGAAGCAAATGGAACTGGAAATATTACCCATAATTTTAAGATAAATAGCAATACATCTGGAAATAATCGGAATAATGAACAGTTTAATGTTGGCTTGTTTTCAACTGATTCATGGGCAAGTAGTGGACAACCCTTATTATCAAGTGACCAAGAAAGTTCATTAAGCCATCTAATGTTGTCGAATTTCGGTTACACAAGTAGTGAAAGCAGAAGCAGTATGACAGTCAACTCCCCTGGCCAACATAATCGAAATTTTTCATCAACATGTTCATCAGTTCCAACGGAATCAAGAAACTCGGAACAGCAATCTGTAGATGAACCTACGTCGAACACACAGAGAATAAGACTTGACATGAGAAGTGGTCTTCCAGTCAATACATCATTCGAGGCTGCTGCAGGGTATGTATGGCCTCAATGGCCCGATGCCATTCCTAATCCAGAAAATAACAATTTAGACCAGGCTAATTCAAGTGAAACTTCTTATGTCTTTAACGCAGTCGATTCAGAATCAGAAAACAATTTACCATTCCTTAACCGTCAACTTTGGCTTCGACGTAATGCTCGTCAACGGCGTTATTATCTTAGACAACTGCAGATTCACAGAAGCGTTGCTGATTCCAGTTTGCCAGAACAAGCAGGTGAAGATGCTATGGAGGAAACTTCAAGTTGGGCAGAACCCTTGCGATCAAATCAGAGTAATCCAAATGGGCAACAAGAAGATAGTGATAGTGATCCAGGTTCTGCTGATCGATACTGGCCTGATCCAACATATTCTCCACAAAACGTGTAGCGCTATACTAGTTTACTTTTTTCTAACTTTATATCTTTTACGAGCGATTTTATAATCACATTTTAAGTTTAAAATGCCTTTTCTAATTCATGATCTCATCAGATACAAAAAACCTATCAAGTGTCAACATTTCGAAATGTGTAAATACCTCATCCATATTTACTTTCGGTTAAAATGAATATATTATAAACTGACTTTGTGCTTTAACTAGCGACTATGTCATTTTCGCAACTGATTGCATAAAATTAAAACTCATTCTTTTTGTAAATGTATCTTTCTGTGTGTTTAGGTTCATAATATTTATTTACCAATCCCTAAAAAACAACATGTTTATGAAGAATGACTTTATCTGTATTGTAAACTAAGTTTACTGTAGTATGCATGGTTAAGAGTTATTACATGCTAAAATCAACGCGTTAGTTTCTTAAAGTTTCAAAGATATGGGTGGAGAAAATATAATGACTTATTTAAAAGATAACTGTGTTTTAATTATTTATGAGCAGTTGATTTCAAACAAGTAAATATAATCAGAATGAGATGAACCTTACAAAAACTATAAAAGAGAATTAGTTTTCAGAAAGTAGAGAATATTTTAACGATTCTCTTTTAGTTGTTCTAACACAAGATGTTTATCAGTATAGGGTTGTGGGAGTTGTTGAGTTTCATTGAAATCATAGACCAGTCAATGTTGGACCACCATTGAAAACCTGTAAGTAATAGACGACCGATTCCTCCTCGGCAGTGCGCATCCACGACACTGCACGTGGGAATCAAACTCAGGACTTACAGTCTCGCGTGTTAACGCTTAACCCCTAGACCACTGAGTTGGCATCCAGCGATGTGTGATTTCAATTAATCCACAATATTGCGCGACCATCTTCAATTGTCTTCGGTGGGCATCTGCCTCACATCTGACACGACTGAGCTCCACTGGTTACAGCATCTCACTAGAACAATAAGAATTCTTTTTCGAAGCTAGTCCCTAGTGATCACACGATAATTATCAGTATAGGGTTGTGGAGGTTGTAGATTTTCATGTTTGGTGGTGAAAAAAAGACCTTTTGTGAAGTCCTGCGGAAAAAAACATCTGTAGTATGGGAGTTGAAAATGGACATAAATTGAGCGGAATCAGTTTGAAAAAGTTCACACATCAATCATAAAATCTAGTGGTTTGGTAGTGAATAAGAACCCAGGTGGGAACGACCAAATTATTGTTTAATACAGAATTACGAAATGTTTCGGTAAAATATGAGAACCATACAATAAATACTTCATTTGCAAATCTATCAATCGTCCTTCACATTCTTTATGCTTCTCCCGATTCACAATTCCTCTCTATTTCCCCTTCTGTTTTCTTCAACGTGATCTTCATAGCCCTCTGCTGCCAGGTTTTCCACTTTCGATTAGTGCTATATACTACTTATTTCGATCGACATAAGTAGCACATATTACACTTGTCTCCCCCCTTTAGACGGTCGCTCTTGTGGTTGTTCTGCTGGATGTGCCACGACATCCATCAAAGTGTCGTGTCCTCTTGTACTCTGACCTCTATAGCAATGTCGACATGCCGGGCCATCTACCTCCGATGTCCACCCAGCAGCCGCACGTCCCACTGCGTCTCTCCTTAAACAGCAACCGCCGAATCGCCAGAACACTCCACTCGACGTCACCTTGTGTCTGTCGATATACGTAGCATACACCACACTACTACGGAAAATCAGGTAGTAGTAAATTTAATAGGTCTTTTATGGTATACTCAAAAATTAAACAAAAATTTCAGTGAATTTGAAATACTAAAGATAACGTATTGGGATTATAAATGGAACACTTGTTTTGGTTGGTATGAAAAATTAATTCTTATTTTCCCAAAAAAGGATGATAATAATAGAAATAAAAACCTAATGGATTTTCTCTCACGTCCTTTGGCTTCCATCAATGCATTACATGAGCCATTATTTAGTTTAACTTAAACCACAATATTCTATACAACAGTTATATTTACTATTCATAGTAAAACCTACAAAATGTCATTCTACTTAATCACAGTTCATTTCAAATGAAAATCCAACAAGTTGAGCATCCGGATTTCAAATCGACAGCTACAGTTTTAAAAAGATTCCCTTTGTTTCCTGCTTTTGTTTTCCAGCTTATTTACACAACTGTATTAACTCACTGAAAATCATTTTCCCAAATTGTTTTAGTCTCGAGTTTAACCTCTCGTGGTTCAAGATAGTTTCCATCCGTATAAGTACTCGTATGCCCTCATCTTTAATAAGTGTGACATACTGTTCGCTTCAAATACCACTCAGCTACTGAATCAGATGCCACTATCTTATTCTAAAACAAAGTCTGATTTTTTAAACTCAAGGATTCATCGATAGGTTGAAAAATTCAACTTGAGGTTGCCCAAACCAGTCAATGAAGTATCAAGTACAGTCGAACAGCAACAGTATTGTTAATTACTTGAATGTTTAAACTATAATAAAGACCCTATGTTATACAAAATATCCATCATCATACTCAGAATATTTGTAGCTGTTGGTTCCAATGGCTTAGAGAGCCTATTTCTTGGTGACTGCTATATTGCTGGAAGACACCCTTATGCTTATCGGCTTGGTCGTTTAGCACTCTTAGTCACTTGCTGAAGTCCTATAGTGTGATATGAAGCCAATATGCATAATTTGTAAGCAGATGCTATTATAACTTACTACAAGCGTTTTTAGAAAACGTATAACAATGGATACATACTCAGAAGAAATTTTACAAAACTTTGGAATATCTGGAAAAACTTTTTGTTTATCCACAACTTTCAGGTTATAGAAAATCCAAAATCCACCATCAGTCAGTATTGTAGTAGAGAATAATTCCCCGAAATTATTAGATCAGTTGGTGATTGATATATGATGCTATCATAGTTGGTTTCTTTATCTAATTCATTCATTTATAGTTTAGGGTTCTATTTAAATCCGTTGTCCAACTCTATTCCTATTTGATCAGTCTAAAAAAAAACTTGTTTAATAGTTTAGTGTGCTGTAATACTGAAGCCTGTATATCACCAAGTTGTTTCGAGATATTTGACAAATTTACTGTTTGTGAATCCAGTTTGCATTTCATTTTCATTCCAAGAAAATGAAAGTGGTACCTGAAATCGTTGAAGATCTAATGGGAAACTTATGATGGACAAATTAACGCTTACAAATAACTTCATTTGAATAAAGTAAGAACAATACACATAGCGCAGGTTTAAACACAATGTTAATAGTTTACAATCATTTAAAATAACCAGTATTCAAACAACTTTGAATGTACCACGTTAGTCTGAGGCCGTCGTCAATAAAATGTTGAAACCAAACCTGCATATTCTAAAAGAGACCATTGTGAATCTCCCACATCCGTGGTAACTTCTATTTTTCAGTGTTTAGTTGAGTAATATTTCTTTTCTTATTCTCAACAACAAGTTCTCTTTCTTTCTTGGATCTTTTTTAAGGTTTACTTACCCTACTCTGCTAACCTGTCCAACTTTATGGTTGTTATTACGAAACTTTGACATCTTTGAAATCTGTTTCCATATAGTCTAAAACTTTTGTTGTGCAATTTTCACATTTAATAGCATATGAATGTTCATCCAGTTTATCAATTTAAAACTCTTCCATTCTCCATTAAAATGATATGAAGTATGTAAATGGGTTATACATAATTATTACTAATGTTTCTAGGTTGTAAGCAGCTGACGAGAATCCATGAAATAAATGAAATCATCTTATTCTGTTATGCTTAGTGTTTTTGTTTTTGTCCAATTTATTGATGGGAAAACCTTGCATGTAGCTCTTATAAAGTTACTATCGTTCCAAGCCTGAACAAGGTAAGAGGGTTGTGAACGGGGTTAACAACCCCATCCCGTAGAAAAAAATCTTGTTAAAAAACGCTAACCAAAATAAACAAATTAAACCATTTAAACTCTTCCCTCCGAGCTGAAGGAAGAATTATGACGCCTCACCGTGCAAGCCGAGATTCTTGCGAAGTCATGAGGCTGATGCCCTTTTCTAACAACCACAACAACAACTTTTATACGTACATGGAATGTCCGGATATTGTGGGAGACGGGAAGGACTAATCAAATAGTAACGAAAATGATGAGATACAACTTGACGGTGCTCGCAGGCGGAGAAACCCATTAGACTTAAACTGAACAGCAAGGGATGGATTTAGGAGAGATGGTGTTGTACTCTGGTCACGAAGAGAAAGATGCTCCACACACTCAGGGAGTTGCTCTGATGTTGCCCAATGAAGTACGAAATACGCTTATTAGGTGGAAATCTCATGGACCTAGAATCACCAAATCCTCCTCCAAAACAAAGAAGAGTGAAATCACAGTGAATGTTATCCAGTGTTATACACCCGCCAATGATAGAAATGACGACGATAAAGATCAGTTTAACAAGAGGCTGCAGTCAATCGTAGCAAAGCGCCCAGGAAAAGACCTGACAATCCCAAAGAGAGACCTAAACGCAAAAGTCGGATTGGACAACATCGGATATGAAGATATCATGGGATGACATGGATTGAGGAGAAAGAAGGAGAATGGTGAGAAATTCGCAAATTCATGTGCATTCAACAAAATGTTTATAGGCGGCACAACACTTCTTCACAAAGCTACATGGGTCCCACCGGAAGGCACCACGGAGAACCAGATTCATCATATTTGCATCACTAAAATGTTCAGAAGGACAAGCTTCATCTTTATTTTTAATACAATTCAAACATTAGAAATTTGTAATGTTAGTTAATCAAAGACAGTGTAAAATCTGGTATGAGGGAGAATCGGTCGAATCTGGTACATCCAGATGACCTAGCTCTTCTATCCCATAAACACCAACAAATACAGGTGAAGACAACCAGTTTAGCAGCAGCCTCTGCAGCAATAGGCCTTAACATACACAAGAAAAAAAGCAAGATCAGAAGGTACAACACGGAGAACACCAACACTTTCACACTTGAAGAAACTCTGGAAGAGGTGGAATTTTTCACGTACCTAGACAGCATCATCGATGAACAAGGAGGATCTG